CGCCTTGATGTGGATTTGAACTGAAGATACTTTGGCTGGCAGGTTAGCATCTAGCCATTAAGCTGCTGTGGTTCCCTCTTATTTCATAACATGCTCAATCCCTGCGTGAGTTTTGGGGCCTGACTGTGGGGTTGGGGGGGGGGGGGGGGAATAGACAAATTGCCCCCTAACTCTTTCAATGCCAGAAGAAGGTTAAGTAGATGATTTCGATATCTGTGATTCAAATGTATCAATATGTTCCTTTCAAAGCAGTACTATAACAGTAGTAGTGACCATTGGACAAGCCAGATTGCTTGAGTAAGTTCTGACCAAACGCAAAAAGTAATTGAGCATATTAAGCTAAGGAGGGGATTCAGCAGAGTGATTCATGCATCAACTGTTGTCTGGGACTCAAAGAGTTAAAAAGCGTGTGGTAAAAGTGTTTACTTCGAAGCTGGAATGCCTCTGCCTGAAAGGTAAGGAACCAAGTCTACGTACAGGTAAGCCAGATCTGTAAAATGGATCTGCATGCAAAACACAACTTCTTGAACAAGACTCAAATCTATCAAAGAGGAACAACCAGAATATTCCACTGGAGTTCACAACTGGTGAAAACTAAGTAGACGATAACCCTGTCCAAACCCTAACGATTATCTTGCCCTGGTGTGGCTAGTCACTATATGTTGTTTATTCATCACATGGTGAAGATGACCAGTCCTCTCATCTGCCAAATAGCCTTATATATATATATTACATAGGTGGCTGATAAGGCTGGCCAATGCTTACACAGAATGTTCTCTTTTAGTGTGGGGTATTGAATTTGGAGGATTTAGTTAATAGTCTTTTCTGATGTCTTTGTTGAACTGCTGATGCTATTTTAGATACACCGCATGCCACAAAAGAAGAGCGCTATGATGAATGGTTGCACACAGCAGCTTCCCATTTATCAGGATCAATACCAAATGAATCATAATGTACACATGTAAATAGGACATGTTTTTCATAATCTAAATGCAGTTTGACCCCCCCCCCCCCTCCCCCCTTTTCCACACACACATTGCAATGTTAAATGCAGCATGCTAATATTTTGGCTATTTTGGCACTAAGCGGCTCTGACTGGGTGATTGTTAAAATAAAATAAAATATGTAATTGCATGTAAATACACTGTCAGACATGTTGACTATAAGGCCTAAGTATTGCTCCCCATAATTACCAATAATATGTAATGACCCCCCCCCCCTCCCCCCTTTTCCACACACACATTGCAATGTTAAATGCAGCATGCTAATATTTTGGCTATTTTGGCACTAAGCGGCTCTGACTGGGTGATTGTTAAAATAAAATAAAATATGTAATTGCATGTAAATACACTGTCAGACATGTTGACTATAAGGCCTAAGTATTGCTCCCCATAATTACCAATAATATGTAATGAATGTGGTCGGCGACAAGGTAGATGCCTTTGCATCACGGAACATTTCTTGGTACCATTTCAAGCTGCATCAGTCAGACAGCCACAGGAAATTCCTCACAGTTATACATATGAGATAGTAATATGCAACTAGGTAACGTTTCTAATAACTGAAAATTTAATTGCTTTGAAATCAGAGTATGTAAGTCCTGGCACAAAGCAAAAGTCCAAATAGATGAACAGCCAGAATTTCCTGCCAGCTTTCTTAGACGGTGACCCCCCCCCCCCCCCCCCCTTTTTTTTTCCTCCAAAATGCAGAGATATCTATACCAACAATAATTTAAATATTTTAATGCCTTAAATCCTTGGTTCCTCATATTAGTTCCTCTGTAGCCCCTGGGTTAAAATCTTCTATGTTTAAAAAAAAAAAACCTGAGGAGGAGACATTGTCACCCTAGACCTAATCCCAGTTGGCAACAAAGGATCTGACCGATGATAAGGATGACGGCATGATTAGATGAGCGGTTTGGGGGGAGGGGGGTGTAAATAATAATACACATGTTTGAATTGGAATTTTTAAGTGTTATTTTTTAAATTTAGTTTGCTTATTCCAAACCTAACTTCCCCTGACAGACACTACAGATGTTAAATCTTGCTGCAACATTACAAATATGTGTGTGCATGCAAGTGAGAGAGAGAGAGAGAGAGAGAGAGAGAGAGAGAGAGAGAGAGAGAGAGAGAGAGAGAGAGAGAGAGAGAGAGAGAGAGAGAGAGAGAGAGAGAGAGAAAGAGAGAGAGAAGATATAGTGGATAAGGAGACAGGGAGAGAAAGAGACATGGGGTGGGGGAGGACTGGAGAAAGAAGAAAAAATGTTTGCAGGGAAACAAGAAAAAACAAATTTATAAAGAGCAACATTTTATTTTGCTTTTGGATTTAAGTAGTTTCAAAATAAACAATTTAGAAAATGGAAGCACATTACAGTCATTCATTTTGTACAGGGTCTCATGCAAATGATTTTTAAAAGCATTGTGACACTCTAAAACTTTCAAACAAGCATATTAACAAATGGCATGTTCTAAACAAAACCAGCAGGGCACTTTAGGAATTTATCACAAATATAAAAAGGAAGCATTTAACATTCCTTTGGAAAGTCATGAAAGAAACTGTTGGTTGTGATACTTGCAAACAACAAAATAAACAAAAGTGTCAAAGTCAATAAGTACTGTATCATGGAATATAAGTCTTGTCTAATCCCAAGCCACACCTCATATGTGGTGAATATTTTTCCTGTGTACCAGCCTTCTTCATTTTATATGGCTCTGAAACTTGGAGCACAACTTAGAGATGAAGCCTTATTACAGGTTTTCGAAAACTCGAAAACAGTCTTTCAACGAATCTTTGGACCCTTCAAAGATGCAAACAGCAGGGAATAGAGAGTGAGACGCAACAACGAAATTCATAATCTGTTTAAATCACAACTGATCACTAGCATCATGAGAGCTAATAGACTGAAATGGCTGGGGCATATTGAGAGAATGTCAGATGACAGAGAAGTAAAAACTGTATACACCAGGGAGATGAATGGTTGTAGACCACGAGGCAGACCAAGAAGACAATGGGGAGATAACATCCAGACAGATCTGCAAACACTTGGTGTCACCAACTGGAAAGAGAAGGCCAACCAGAGAGATCAATGTAGGTGGTTGATATCTGCAGCAATGAACCTCAAGGGCTTGGAATGCCAAAGAAGAAGAAGAAGACTAGCCATTTTCCTTTTCTTCTGCTGTCACATTTATCTGAGGAGGTGATTGTGTTGTCTGTTTACAGCACGACTGCAATATTTGCACTTTTCTGCCAACATATGTATGGCAAGCTAGATATTGTGAGGGCCCTTTGTGAACAGTGCAGAGCCACAGATAGATCATTATAGTCTGAGGAGAATATCGCTGCAAGCAGTTACCAGGGGACCCTCAACACTCAGGGGAAGGATGAGACGGACATGCAATCAGACAGTTACTGGTGCCATCAGAACTGGAACTCTTCGCTTGCTACTGAAGATGGAGATGGACTAACAAATGACCTGCCAATCTTTGCAAACTGTATTATGTTAGTAATCTTTCTAAGCTGGAGCTTGAGCCTCTGACCCATAAAAATTCCTATTTTCAATATTTTTACCCAGAATAGCCTTGATAAACACCAAGTTCAATAAGCAATGGCAAATTACTGAATGTAAAAAATGCCTAGTAAAACTACAAGCAGTCAAATCCTTGGGTTGATTTGTAAAATCCTGTTAAGGATATGCACTTGAATTTAATATTTGAAAACAAAACACACAAAAACTGGTGGTGAGAAAAAGTGTTAAAATGCTATATAGAACAGTACTCTGCAAGTGTGAAACATGGACAAAAGCAGACAGGGTGAAGAAGAAAAAAAACTATGACAGATTAAAAGTGGATTCTGAGAAAAATGCAAATAGTATAGTCATACTGAAAAACAAATGAAGGAGTCCTCCATGAAAGAGGCAGAAACTACATACTGATAAGAAAAATTTGATTCAGACAATTAAAATCATTTGGTAATTTTCTAATTAGAAATTAATTTGAACATAGATACACTTGATTAAGAAATGATCATTTGGTAAAGTTCTAAGGAGAAATGGATTTGAACAAAGATACATTTGATTTAGACAAGATCATTTGGTAAAGTTCTAAGAAGAAATTAATTTGAACATAGATACATTTTATTTAGATAATCAATATCTTTTGGATGGCACAGACTATCGAAAAAATATTCTCATGTTTATGAGATTATTCTCGGATTTCAACTATGAGATTATTCTATGTGGAAAAATTACAAAAGATAGCGTGAGCATTAACTCTTTTGGTCCTATAAGGTTTTGTACAAAATTTATTTTCAAAAAAAAATTACATATTGCCAAGAAAACTAACAACTTGTCGTGTTGTAGGAATGAAAAATTTGTGAAAGATACCCCTTTGGTTGCCAGATTCTTTTAGTATACACTAACCAAAACTTAAATATAAGAAGACTCTTGATACGATGTTTGAGACATGGGTATATTCAGTGACATATTATGTGTTATTTGGGACTGGAAAACTTAACTCTTTTGGTTAAAGTCAAAAAAGATAAGTCAACAGAATCGACTTCATTGCACCAGATTTTATCCTATATGGCTCGGTCTCTCTCCGCAGAATTGCTAGCCACCTGCCGAAAGCGCTGCACAGAGCACGGACTCCGCAGCTCCGGTGATGATTCTTAGGAATCTCCATAAAAATTGCAGTCGTGAACTAAAGGGCACAGCCTTCAAAGCGTGAGGCAAATGACTTGACCACTTCGCCATGAAGACCCCTCTCTTTTGGAATCCTCCAATTCTTCAAGCATTCACTGGATAGTCCAAATCATTGGATTTCTGGCTCTCTTGTACAACATATAAATGACACATCAACTAATTAATATGAGCTGTTAGCTTTAATTGTTCTGACACATAGTGTAACTATTTTAACTTCTTTGCACTCAGACATTAACCTGGTTAAACTAGAACTTCTCTGAATAGAAGAGCTAAAAGCAATCACAGGGTGCTACTGAAGGAGTTAAATATTCATTACTGTAGGCTTCACAACAGCCATTGCACCTGGCTGGCGGCCATATTTTGTTGCCACTCTAAGAGGATTCTCAAATGCTGAACTGGTGGTCACTTTGGTGCTTTGATAAAAGTCTTCATTACATCTCAGGCTCTCAGACGTGCCATGGGAGGCTGCATTTATGTTGCTGTTTGTGGGGAAACTGTTATATGGCTGCACTGCTGGGTGTGGTGGCTGAAACCTGGAGTTGTGAGTTACTTGCTGTGAATGTCTTTGTTGGTACCAGTTGGGGGCTTTGTCATATCCAGGAGATATGATTATTTGTGACTGAGTTTGTTCTGAAGCACTGTCAGATTCAAGATACTGTTCTCTGTAATGCTGATGTGGAGTTTCTGACACTGTATGCTGTGATTGTTGAAGCTTCGGTTTGTTTGTGAAAGGCTGGCTTGTTTTCTGATTATTTGAATTCTGATGGAAATGTTGGACATGGTTGGACAAGATTTGATCATGAGGCGTTTTTCTGCCCTCCTCATTGTATGACTGCGTGTAATGAGTCGCCATAATCTGATGAGAGTTTGAGATGTGTCGATCTAAAGAAGCATGTACGGTGCCAGGTTGATTCTGCAGAATTTTACTATTGGGCCAACCTGGCATGTTGTTAAATTCCTTTTGGTTATGAAATTGTTTGGGTTCTTCAGACTGAGATCTATGACTTTCATCTGCTGACTTGGAAGCTGCCAGTTTTCCATGGCTTGGCTGGGGTGTGCTAACTCCCTGATTTCTCCTTTTGACCACTGGCGTTGATGTCATGGAGGGAGGTTTGTCAGAAATATCCAGGAGACCGATACCTGGGTTGTTCAAATCAGTTCCTTTCTCAAACTTGTCAATCAGTGACGTGACAGATTTTGGAGCCTCTCCCCTCACTGGAGACTGAGCCCTATGAGTAGTTGCAGTAGTTTTCTTTCCTGCTGTATCTTTTCTTGAAATATGTCCCTCTGCTTCAGGCTGACTTTCAGTCCTAGCATACGCAGAATGAAACTTCCTATCTTCTTTTCTGAACTCATTATCTCGGTCAAGAATGCTGTGTGCACTAGAACTTCTGTAAACAGGGATATTATTAACAAAAGCTGTTCTGCCTTTTCCAGCATCCACTGGCAAAGACTGGCCCTTCGCTACTTCAGATTTTCTTCGGGAATTTGATTTTGTACCTTCGATATTGTGTCTGAGGTCCTTTGGAGAATAATCAGATGTTGAGACAGCTTCCCCATTTTCTGGATTGTTTCGATGTCCATATGTTTGATTGGAGACCTTTAATTGTGATGTTTCAGGCATAGTATTGTTGCTTGATTGTGGGTACATGTGTGAGTTATTTTCTGGGGCCTTTTGGGTGTTCTGGGGTAAAGTGATTGGCAAAGCTTGATAATGGTTAGACTTTGGGGGAAGGATGGTGTAAGATGCCCCTGTGGACCCACTGCCCCTGAGACTACCACTGCCACCTGAAGTCAAGCTAAGAGTAGGATAGATGCCTCCCCCAAGGTACTGTTCACTCTTCTTCTGTAGCTCTTGTCTATAAACATCAGAGCTAATCGATACTTGTGGAACATGCACATGCTGAATCATTCCTGTTGCTTGCCCTCGCACTCCACCCTCAAAACGTGGATCATATTTTGACTGATTCTCATAATTAGGAATAACCTTGGCCTTGTATACCGGAACAAGACTGGCTTTTATCCATTTTGGATCTGAACTATTTCTATCATTAATTACAGTGATCTTTTCTTGATTGACCTCACTGAATGCTGACTGAGGTGGCTGAAAATCATGGTTTCCAGACATCTGAGTTTGATCATGCTCTGCTCCTTTTGCATAAGCTTCAGAAATACTCATATTACTGCCAATAGCAATAGGTGCCCTCATTCTGGATTGATTTGTAGGTTCAGTTCTGTTCTCACTACTGTTAGTAGGGCCTTTATCAGAGACAATAGCTTCTTCATTGGGACCTTTGTGGAAAGCATCATGTGAGCCTAATGCAACATCGCGTCTATAGAAAGCATTCTCTTGAAAAAATGGTCGACTTCTGCCCCGGACACTCTGCAAGCTGCTGATAGTGGAAGGAAATGACTCATGGCCATCTCTGTAGAAAATCCTTTCAGAACGGTCAGGGTGAACCTCCAGGCTGTCTGGTGTATCTGCATGATTTAAAACCTCCTTCCTTGGTTGATCAGGAAAGCAGATGTTCTGGTAATCAACACTGTCTCTCTCTTTTACATCAGTTACATTGTTAAAAGCTGACTTGTCTGTCATGTAATAAGAGTCAGGCTTTGAAGAAGCTCTTGTTTGTGGTTTACTGGGAATTTCATTGCCCATGTTTTGATGTGAAATGGGGTAGTTCTTCGGTGAAACACTATTTGAATTCTTAGCATTCCCATTTGCAGAAAATTTCTGAGCAAAAGTGTGTTTGACTTTTCTAAAGGGAGTTGATACATTTCTGTGTGGTGACACTTGTGAATGCTCTTCATGTAATGGGCCTCTAATTTGATCTCTCTTTAGTAAAGATTTAAAGAAATTTGAATTCTTTTTCTGAATATTATCATGATCTGTCAATGTACTTCCTGAAGAAGTCAAGCCCTGAACCCCATCTTGTGGACAGCTGGACTCCTCATTCATCTCAGGATTATGATAGTTTCGTGAATAATGAGAGAGGCTTTCATAAAGAGGTTCAAAGCCAAAATTATCATCTGGATAACTACCGCTGTTTTTGCGATGACTTTGCATGCCAGGAGAATTAGCCTGAAACATCATCATGGGTCTGGCAATGTGAAATTCTGAAGAGGTAGCAGAGTTTGCTTGTTGTTTGAGAGCAGGATGAATGGTAGCTCGGGGTCTCAGTACATCTGGTGGTGTGGCGTTTATTGGTTTTGGCGAAGATGGGGCTTGTGGAATGTCAGTATCATTACGTCCTATTTTGTTCTGCTGCACTGCTCTCAAGTCTGGTACTGGTTTGTCTTCTTGTTCAAGCTGTCTTCCTAGGTTTGTGACAGCTTTATTATTCCTAGGTTCTGCAAATGTTTCATTCTGATAAGGTGGTGAAGAGTGATTTAGTTCAGATTCTTGAAGATGTGGCTGTTGATGCTTTCTTTCTTGTGGGACTAATTGCTGACCTATGTAGTCTTTATCTAGGCTTGAACTGGCACCTTCTGACTGCATCTCTAATGTGTATTTGCCCACTGACTGGATCCAGGAGTTAATGTGTTGCAGCTGTTGAGCCTTGCAGGTCCTCATCTCCTCGTCCTCTTGGAAGACAGCTACATGTTTCATCATGGCTGACCTTAGACTGTTGAAGCCGGGAACGGATGAGCAGGACTGGTAATAGATAGAAAAAAATGAATTCTGAAATTTATGGATGAAATCATGGAAATACTGAAGTCAATTCAAATTAATAAAGAACCCACAGAAAAAAAAAAATCAAAATAAGCTTTCCTACACTGAAAAGTTATTTTGGATTATGATGTTATTTTATTTCAAATGCAGACTTTACAAATATTTTTACAAAGTACTTAATAACAAGCATACCTATTAAATAAATTAATCCTTTTGATATGCACATAAAAATCATAATCTCTCTTCCCCCTTCCTCTCTCTCTTTTGCTTCCTCCCTTTCTCTCTCTCTCGATATATCTATATATATATATATTATTTATATATTATGCACGCTTCCAAATGCTTCTTTCTCTGTGTCCAAGTAATGTAAGTTAAAAAAAAAATACACATTTGGTACATTACCATAAACTACACATTTTCCAAGTTGCACATTTTATTCATTTTAGGAGGAAAGTTAAAAAATAAATGTTAACTTAAAAAAAAAAATATTCACCATTTCTGTGGGTTCGTCACAATGAAAGAAATTTACCAGGCAGGTGACCCCTTTCAATTTGGCAAGCATATTTTAAAAATAATGCAATGTGCATGCGACTTTTTATTTTTCAAACTAACCTTCTACATCCTGAGATATTTACTGGGCAAGACAAAGCATTTATGGTTGATTCTTAAACCAATAATCAGCAAACTTATGCAAGAGAATAGGAATGGCCAACGCAACACACAAAAATACAAAACAGCCTTTTCAAAACCGATCTGAGGTAAACCTATTAACATTGAAAAAGAGCAGCCAACACTGAACATCACAGTAAACAGATAGCTATTAGAACAATTAACAAGTTTCTCCTATCTTGGACAGTAGTAACAGATGATGGAAGAAGGGAAACAGAAATCAAAAAGAGGACAGAAATGGCTAAAACTGTCTTCAATAAGATGTGCAAGTTACTGACAGCTGGAGAGATGAACACACTAAAAATGAAAATCGTCAAATGTTATGAATACTAAATCTTGCTATATGGTGTAGAAACTTGACATGAACAATCAAAACACACCCTAATTATAATCTACAAACACAGGTTGAAAGGGATCAACTAGGGAAAAAAACAAGTAACTAGAAAATCAAGTCTCTGTGGATGTGGGTATACAGAAGAATAGGTCACATTTCTTGGAAACAAAAACACTCTGATGTTTCTGGAAAGACTAGAAATGAAAAGAGAATAAATGAAATAAATAAAAAAAGAGGCACTTGAAATATTTTGGCCATATTAAAGGACATAACATGCTATAATACAAGTGGGAGGACAACAACAAGAGATGGACTAGCAGCAGTACAAGAGAGGCACACCCAGTACAAAAGACAAGGTATGTTCGAGATCCACTGCAGCCAACCTTAACTGTGGAGATGGCACCTGACTGACTGATTGAAACTTATTCAAGAACTCAGTTCTCCTTTCTAAAAGCCTACAGGGCTTAGAAAATTAATTCTTACCATCAAAATTTGAAGAAAAAAAATAATGTCTACACTAAATACTGAATACATAACATAACTAACTCTTGACCAGTGTTGCCACTTTGGATGTTTTACATCCAGATTTATATGTTTTTTCTTGCATTTAGATGGCATTTTTTACATTTAGATGGTAGATGTTTTTCTAGATATTTTCCATTTGGAGTAAATTTATCAAATCTACCCTAAGAAACGGGATGAAATTTGACCTCTTAAATGCTATCTTGACAATACAATTTGGCCTGATAAAAGTAGGAAAAGGCTGTTCCACTTATCAGCTCCCTGATTAGGTATTAAAAGAGACTGGGACAGCTAAAGCATACCAGAGTAATTTTGGATCTGAAGCTTCAACTTCATTATCCAAGCAAAGTTTATCTTGTAAGGCAGACTTCAGTAATGATGAGGAAATTATTCTATAGGGTAAGTCATATCATTTGCTATGTAATTTGTGACTCTTTCCATTTGGATGTTTTTTTTCTAGATGTTTTCCACACAGATTTAGATGTTTAAAAAAAAATTGACTCCATTTTGGATGTTTTTGTCAAGGAAAGGTAGCAACTCTACCCTTGACCCATTAGGGTCATGGAGATGTATTGATGGAAGCACTGGCACATAAAACCTGCCATCTTTTTCTGTCTTCTGCTTGATGAATAAGTATATGAAAACTTAGTCCTGTCCATTTCTTGATGTTCTCATTCAAGTTTCTTCTTTGGCCCCCTCTTCTGTGACTACCTCCCAATGTTCCTTGAAGTACAGTCTTTGCAATCAAATCATGTTTCACCATGTGCCCAAACAAAGCTAGCCTGTGATGTTTCACCACTGCCAAGAGAGGCTCCTGATGTCCCGCAAATGTGTATATTTTGTCTCTGACATATTTATTAAATACAGAATACCAACCTCATATTAAAATTGATAATGAAGAAACTGAAAATGTCACAGAATTTTAATATCTAGGCTCAACAGTGAACAATAATGGTGACTGTATAATGAAATCAGAAGAAGAATTGCTTTAGCAATGCAGAGATTACCTGTACCTGCAAATGAGTTCAACTAAACCTTTTAAGATCATGCATATTTCCCATGACAAACTGGCAACCTATAGATGTGAGTCATGGACTCTTGCTCAGTCACGGAAGAAATAAACTATTACCTCTGAACTGAAAAGTTACAGAAAATTTTCAGAATACCATGGATCATGAAGAAGAAAAACACTGAAATCCTACATAATATGAATATCATGGAGAACTGGCACAAAAACAGCACCATGTCCTGAAAGCTGAGATATTTTTGCGACATTTTAAACATCATGGTGGTCTGAAAAATACAGGATGGAGGGTAGTTTTCAGAAAATGAGGAGAGACCCACCGTTTTGAAAGTGTATACATGACACTGAAGAAGCATTGGCTATGAAAGCACATAGGACTGGACAACTGGCTACAGAAAGAAAGACTTTCAGGCATGCTGTGATGAGAGTGATGTTCTGTAAAGAACCTGTTGACTGATAATGATAAATTACATAAAGTTTAATGTTTAGGCTATTTATATGTTCTCAGTACTCACCAGTTGGCTTTTTGAAGATAAATCTGCATTAAATTTAGCTTTAGCCAAGTTTCTGTGAGCAAGTTTCCAGTAGTACTTGCAGTCATGGAGAAAAGATGCCCAGATCTGTGTGATACAAACATAAAGAATGCCAAAACATAAAAACAGCTGGAAGTGTTGTGAAAGGTCATTCTCACACAATTAGAGCATTTAGGCATATGGTGTTTGACCCAGTGCTGGATTCAAGTATCAGATAAGATAGGCTAAGATAAGGGCTACAGAACTTTTTTTAATGTGGTGTTGGTAGTCATGTTTATCCACAACCTTCTGTCTCATGTACTTTCAATTAGCTCTGAGACAGATGATCCTCCATGTTATGATATCAAACTGATAATGGAGCAAACAGGGCTGATAAATACAATGGAATGCTACACAAAAATCTTTGAGATAAACAACAAAAACAAAGTTGCAACTTAGAATCTTTTAGAGCTGGTTACTGATTTAGGAATCGACATCCTAGCACCCTGGGTAGACGCATAGATTCTCCGTCTCCCACAGCAAATGTCTTAAGGTGTAGATATTAATTGTTCCTGTAGCACACTGATCATACATACATCGTTCTCTTCCTCTAATCTGTCCCTCTTTTCGGATCCACACTTGATCTTGTGTCTTCTGTCAGCAGTCATTCATATATGGTCTTCACAATATCTCCCTTGTCTAATATGAGTGTTCCTGTAGCTTTCCCTTTTGTAGCCAGAAAATCCTCTCTTTCATTGTCTCACACTCCTGCATATCCCGACAGTATATTCACGTGATTCCCTGCAATGTTGGCGTACTGATGCATGGTATCCATTCATGCCACATTAGTCAATTTTGAACCTTCCGCAGTGCCGACTGAGAATCAGGCACAATAATTCCTCTGGTACTTTGTTTTCTGCTATTCAATTCAGAGCTGCAGTGATTGCCTCCGCTTCCGTCCTCATGCTTGACGTTGTAGATAAAAAAGCTCCATTTTGTTTTGCCACAATTTTTCCCTTCATTCTAGCTGAAAATCCCCAGTAAGATCTTACACCCCAATGAACAGAACCATCGGTGCAGACTACTACATCATCTAGCCCAGCCTTTCCATCTATTAGTTGTAGTAAGTCTAATTCTGCCATACCGTTACACCACTCTCTATATTCTCTTCCTAATGTGATAATGACCTGATGTAAACTGCTGTTGTGGGTGTTCGTGTCAATCCATTCCTGCCCCTGTGTATTTGCTTGACTGAGGTTGCTGTCCCGATGGTATCTTTAGCTAGTGCCATCCATGACTTTTATCTTTTCAACCGGTCTTTTCTTAAATCGTTCAAATTACCTTGCAGCGGATGCCTTGCAGCGGATGCCTTTCATCATTGGTAACTCCCATACAGGCCTTGGCTTGCGCCAGTGACAGTCTAGGCCTTGGCTTGCACCAGTGACAGCTAGGCCTTGGCTTGCACCAGTGACAGTCTAGGCCTTGGCTTGCGTCAGTGACAGTCTAGGCCTTGGCTTGCGCCAGTGACAGTCTAGGCCTTGGCTTGCGTCAGTGACAGTCTAGGCCTTGGCTTGCGTCAGTGACAGTCTAGGCCTTGGCTTGCATCAGTGACAGTCTAGGCCTTGGCTTGCGTCAGTGACAGTCTAGGCCTTGGCTTGCACCAGTGATAGTCTAGGCCTTGGCTTGTGCCAGTGACAGTCTAGGCCTTGGCTTGTGCCAGTGACAGTCTAGGCCTTGGCTTGTGTCAGTGACAGTCTAGGCCTTGGCTTGCGCCAGTGACAGTCTAGGCCTTGGCTTGCGCCAGTGACAGTCTAGGCCTTGGCTTGCGCCAGTGACAGTCTAGGCCTTGGCTTGCGTCAGTGACAGTCTAGGCCTTGGCTTGCATCAGTGACAGTCTAGGCCTTGGCTTGCATCAGTGACAGTCTAGGCCTTGGCTTGTGTCAGTGACAGTCTAGGCCTTGGCTTGTGTCAGTGACAGTCTAGAGTTGACCAATGTCAGCCCAAGCATATGCCTCATTGTTCTAATTGGGGTATCTCGTGTACAACCCAAGATGATTCTCATTCCTTTATTTTGAATCCTTTAAAGCTTTGTACACTGTGAAGTAGATAGTTAATATTCCTAGGTCATAATCGATTATAGAAAGGACTAAATCGTTGAACAATAAATCAGATCAATAATCTCTGTTCCATGTGTGTCGTCACTATCATCTTCAGTGCCGCTAGGCCCCGCTTGAATTTGATCAAAGTCTGCTCCATGTGATATCTGTAGGACATACTGCGATCAAACATCAAACCTAAGTATTTCAGCTTATCTCTTCTTTCAACATTATTACCCTTCATGGATATGTTGGGCAAGTCTTACTTTCAAATGCTGTTATTCAAAGAGCCGACAAAACACTGGCCTTCTCTAGGTTTACCCTTGACCCTGTCTGTTCCCACACCACTCTGTCATCTCATGTAAAGCATTTTGCCAAGTTTCTGGTCATGTCGTGCCTGTCTGACCCGCTTCAATACATTAGGACATCATCTGCAAATGTCAAAGTTCGCCCTGGTCCAGGGGGCTGAATTTCTGCCAGACTTGCTGTATATATGTTAAACAAGACAGGTAACAATGGTGATCCCTGAAGAAGGCCAGTTATGAAGTAGCAATGAAAACAATTTTATGGTTTTATGGGGGTCACCGCAACATGAGGAACTGTATTAAAGAGTCACGGAATTAGGAAGGTTGAGAACCAGTGTTTTAGAGGATTGTATAATTTATGTCATTTTGCAAACACATTCTTTATTATTTATTTTAATAAACATTAAACAATATATTTATATTATCTATACACTTTAAAAGGCATATATATATATATTTCAACTTTTTCTGAGATTAGCTGGTGTAATTAAAACAGTTTTCAATTCAATTCAATATTTGCTGTGACCACTTTCAGCTAGGGTCAGACAACATTGCTGCTCTCTGCCCTGTCCGCTATATTTGTGGTTACTGGTCGGGCTGTCATCGAATCAGGTTATCCTTTGTCTTTGTCAGTTTCCTATTGCTTGTTGTTTGTTATGGCATTTTCCCATTGGGTTTCTGTCAAATCTGGCCGTTCTTGCTCTGCGCTCAGGTTCCTGAGTTTAGCTGCTTTACTGTCACGGCGAGTTATGGTGGGTTTGTTTGGCCGGTTGTTGTGTTCAAGGAGGGGATAACTGCTTGCCCTAAAAAGGACTGGCGGTTTGGCAGTTTAAAACAGTAGGAACCTCAGAGCTTTACATAGCTTAGGGCCACATCAAGTTAAAATCCAGCCCTTGTTAGATCAATGATTCTATAGAAGAACTGGCACTTGACGTATCATGTGGTTAACATCCCACCAGCTATCCTTCACTTAGGACTTTTCCTGGTTCCCATTTTAGGCTAGGTGAACCAGAAGTCCTAGGTCTTCTTCTTCTTTGTTCAACAGCTGTAAGCTCAGGCAGGTGTCCTGGTTGTTCCTCCATTTGGACTTAAGCTTTGTGCCAGGGCCTTTTGCTGGCTTATTTGTGTGCAGCTGGTTGTTCCTTGCCGCTCTGGCAGATGTACTCCGACTTCAATGTAAGTAAGCTCAAAATTAATCAACCCCTATGACAACATGCTTGTTCTTTTATGAACTTTGAGTGAACTAATATATGAAAGATATAATGCAAGAAGGGTAGACTAGACAAGCCTGTGTGACCAATTCTTGACCCTTTAAAAATAAAGAATATCCTCCACTAAATTTATCATTCTAAAATATAAATGCCCCAAAACAGTTTATTTAGAAGAAGAAAAAAAAAAAAACAACAACAACAATATGTGTAGATCAGTAAATTCTAATCTATTACCTGAAAGAATTCTTGAGGCGTTGATTTCTGACCATCATAGCTGAAAAATGCTGCAGTCTTCCAAAACTGGACACGAGTATCATCGAGCAGTTTCTGCTCCTCGGCTAAGACTTCCATGGCTGAGAGAAATCAAGTGAAGACATTCAAAACTATCTTCCATTAAAAAATGACAGTGTAAAATATCTTTTTATATTTGTTATTTTGGGGGATTATTTTCATTTAACAGTGCCTGTTATACACGGCATGTACACATGAGTGCTGGTGTGTTGGAAAATGAGCAGGCAGATAGACTGGCTGGTTCTGCACCACTTGGTGGTGAACTGATGTATGACAAGCTGGATGTTGTGAGGGCCCTTTGCGAGCGAGTGAACAGTGCCGAGGCACAGATAGATCATTATGGTCTGAGGAGAATGGCGCTGTGAGGAGTTACAAGGCGATCTGGCCAATGCTTGCAGGGGAAAGGTGAGACGGATGTACAATCAGACAGTTACTGGTACAATCGGAATTTTAACTCTCTGCTTGCTGCTGAAGATGGGGACAGAGCGCTTATGGGGTCGTCATGAGTGATGTGATGTCGATGCTTAATTCAACATTAAAAAAACAGAGGAGAGAGATGTACAGCCCAAGACAGGCCGAGAACATGACAGAAAGATAACCTCAAAGAAACAATGATAACAGTTCAATGAGTCTATGGCAGAAGCAGTCAGAAGATAAAGAACCTGAAGCTTGGAACATCCTCGATATCTAAAGTGGTATTAGAGAAAATTTAGTTACTTGCACCATCAGAATTTTAACTTTTTGCTTGCTGCTGAAGATGGGGACGGAGCGCTTATGGGTGTGTCCCTAGTGCTGTAATGTCGTTTCTTAATTCAACATTCATTCATAGAGAAATGTGAAGAAGCAGCAGAAGTGTGTGATTTTCCGTACATGCATGGTGTCATAAACGTAAGTTTTTAACAGTTTTGTTTCACATACATTGTTCTACATTTTATCTTATGGTGGAAGTAATTGTATTATTAAAAACATGACACTTGAAGGTATGGAAGTTGTCACACATCTTTAAAATAGGATGCATTCTCTTGCTACAAGTATTTTAAAAAATGGGTATATCTTATATGATATTATGTCAATTCTTAAATTTAGTAATGTCAACAATGTTTTCGCCAATAGCAGAAGAAGTTCCATTCCAGCCCAGGTACTGGAAGCCTATGTCAGTTTTTAAAATCATCAGCCTGCACTCAAACTGTTGACCACAGGACCGCAGACAAGCATGCTGGTCACTGTGCTGGCACTACTCTGTTAACACATATTAAAATATTCACCATCATGTGCCATGCCAAACTGGCGCTCATGAATCTCCACAGATCATGATCCCTGGTTGCCTGGAACAGCTCTCTTTATGATATCCGCCCCCCCCCCTATGCCATCGTTTCAGCCCATCCAGCATCATCTCTCTTGGTCTGCCTCTACCCATTTTTCCACTGATCTTTCCAGTTGTCACGATGTTCTCCAATGTCCCTCTGTGACAACTGAAAAGATTTTTTATTAAAATATTATTAAAATAAGATTACCTGATGACAAAAAGTGTTCACTGATTGCTCGCAGGGTGACAGTTACAGTATTTCCTTCACGCTTTGAAAGTGTTTCCAGCTGCAAATGTTTCATGTGATAAAAAAAATAAACATTTCACTAGAAAACTTAGCAGAAACAATAGTCAACATGTATCCAAAATAATAACTCCCTCCATCAGTTCAAAACAAATTTAAACATTCATAGCTTTACGTTTAATATTTTAAAAGAAAATTATTATGTTACCACATACAGCGATCGAAACCCACTGCTCGCTGCATGGATTTTTATCACGGTATGGGGCATCGCAGGTCGACCCAGCCTGAAATGGGTACCAGGGTGGTTGTCCTGGGAAAGTAAAGAAGGCTGCATTATGTTGACCACATTACCCACCTAGTGCCGATGGTCTGTAAAAATATGGGCGCTCATCCCACATACCCGATATGCCTAAAGGTATGGAAAGGGATCTTTACTATACTTTTATTATGTTACTACTTCTTCTTATAATTAACACCATGTAGTGTTGGTATTCATATCTGTACTGTTGTTAACCGCAATGAAGGAACGAACAAACTGTATTTTAACTCTTTCACTCCCAAGGAATGCATCATATGTTCGTATCATACCTAGAAGCTTAGTAAACACAAGATGCATCAATTTTACATCTCTTTTTACTACCTCTTGGGTCTCTGATGCTAAACCCCCTAGGATTAAATGAGATAAAAGGGATATGAACTGGGCACACAAGCCCATCTTACATTCTGCCCTTCTGGTCTCACTCTTTGCAAACACTATTCCATTCATATGCCATTTTTGCAGACAATAATAATAATAATAAACACAATTTAGAGACAAAAAGAGTCATGAAGATGACTTCAATGAAACCAACTCCCAAAGAGAACTGATTGCTGTTATCAAATCTAGACAATTTTCCCGTATGAAGCACCACCCCCCCCACGAGATGGATCTGTCGTCTTTACTGCCTTTACCATGGTGTAGGACAAGGGAACTGCGGCATGGGGATTTAAGCTACCTGGTTGTTGTAGTCACTATCGACTGTGCAATCACCATGAACTGTGCAGGTTAGGATTTTAATCTGCCCGACAAATAGAAATCTCCATCCCTTACTGAGAATCAAACCTAGCTTTTCTGCATGAAGAGCCAGTACTGTACTACTCGGCCCACTGCTCTTTTATGGAATTATACACTTATTTAAATACCAAAGTTGACAAAAGATTGGTTGTTCCTTCCTGCTCTAGCAGATGTGCTCTAACTTCGAAAGAAGCCTCCATTTAGTTGACTCCTACAACATGCTTGTTAGGGAGACAATGAGTCTATTCTTGTTTTTCCCCCACAATGGGGCCCCGGAACCCACATGGAGAGGAAAGGTTTTCATAGCACCAAGAATTATGTGGAAGTTAACAGAAATTAAATCAAATGTTCAGTCAGACACAAGTGGATGTTCAAAGTAATTAGACAGTGCCAACAGTTAATAGTCAAAATCTGTGTATGTTTAATTTGTGAATTAACTTTTAAGAAGATAAAACTAACACGACAAAAATAAACAAATAAGTAGGACATCAGGAGCCTCTTGTGGCGGTGGTATAACCTCACACACTAGTTAGGTTCAGGCACGTGATGAGACATGATTTTATGATTGCAAATACTTTCTGTGGGGAAAACAAGAATAGACTCACTGCCTCCCTAACAAACTTGTCGTAGGAGTCCTAACTGAGAGCATTCTTCGAAGTCAGAGTACATCTGCTTGAGAGGCAAGGAACCAAGAGTCTGCATACAAATAATGATGATCTGTAAAAAAAAGTTGTGCATTTAACACTAAAGTTGTGGATCAAACCTTAAGTCTGGACGTGGATGAACATCCAGTTTACAGCTGGCAAACACGAAGAAAAAGATTGCAAAGACTATACTTCAAGGAAGACTGGGAGGTAGTCGAAGAAGAGGGGCGAAGAAGAACCTAGAATGACAGCATCAAGAAATGGACAGGACTACCTTCTTCTAAACTTGTTCAACAAGCAGAAAACAGAGAAAGATGGCAGATTTTATATGTCAGTGATTCTACTGATACACCTCCATGACCCTAACAAGCCAAGTGTTATGTTTTGTTAATTTTTGACTACAAACGGCCTCATTCTGTGCAATAAATTTTCAATGTTAAAAATGGCTGTGCAAACGATTGCAGTGGTAGCTCTAGTTAACAGTTTTTACAACAGGGTCTCATATTTATAAAGCAAATACCATAAAGTATCAAACACACTTCTACTTACTTTATTCCTAACAACAGACAGTTCATTTTTTAACTCTTTCAATGCTCTCTGTATATCCTCAAATGAAACCTGTTGTTGGAGATTAGCACAGAATCATATTATAGATATCCATAAGTGATTTAATTACAGAAAATTCATCATAATTACTATAACTGCTTGAAAATACATTTAAAATAAATTGAATGTAACAACCTATCCTCCTACAATTAACACATAAACTTTGCAATATTGCATAACCAAACATAACTAGTAGACATAAATATCCATTATTGAAGTAGAAAAAAATACTCAATATATCCCTGATGGGTTGAACAGAATACCTTGTTTAAGTTAATACTTATAGATACGGTGAAACCAAACTAGATCAGAGTATTTTCTTTCAAAATTAAATTGATACAGAATACAGTATATCACACTTTCTGTGATATTCAACAGATGTTCTGTATGTTTTTATTATTAGGCTCGTCTTTCCTCCAGCTATATTGTTAGATGTCTTCATATCAGCGAATTTGCAACATATGTTAGTTTCCTCTAAAATTTATGTCAAATTTTAGCAATTCTGAGCATTTTTATTAACTGCAGCTGTTGGCTGCCTCTCTATTTCCTGTTTGCCGAACACATATAACACAAAATCTGTGAAATTAAAATTGCATTAACAGGTATGATTTCGATGCGGAAATACAAACAAATGCAAGATGCGGAAATACAAACAAATGCAATATATCTGCTTTACTTACTGGAGTTCTCCAATATTTAGGCATCAGAGATGATGGGCTGCCTGTTGGCAAATAGGAGGGATCTATTACCACCCCCTACCCCCTTTTTCACAGGGCCTTGGAACCCGGACTAACAAAGGCAATAGAGCCACTAAAACATACTATGCACAAACATCATAATTCTTTAATCAACTATATCTGACCACATAAATAGGAAAATTTAAAAAAAACTGCAAAGGCACAAAACTATTACATTTGGGTATTTTTTTTCATGTAAGGCCAATTGCCTTAAAGCCTCTGTGGTTAGATGAATTTTCGTTCAAAACAGTTCCATGAAAAAAATGTGTATAATTTTTTTTTAAAGGGTTTACAGTTAGAAAGTCATTTTTCTTCTTCTTCTTCTTCCATCATTTACCTTATCGAGGTATTGGGAAGGGGGGAAGGATCGTTTGTGTGCTTTTTCCAATGCATTGTACAAGTGGTTGTTAATTTCTGTTAGGTTGCTCATAATAATGTCGCTCCATCTCTTGCATGGTCTTCCCCTTGCTCTGTGTTCATTATATTTCTTCAGCATGACTCTCTGTGGCAGTTGGTACCAGGGCATCCTCGTCAGGTGGCCAAACCATCTCATTTGTGATTCTTTAATTAACTGTATGACTAATTTCAGTCCTAGTCTTCTTCTAATTTCTTCATTCCTGATTTTATCTCTTCTTGTCACACGGGCAGCTCTCCAAAGACATCTCATCTCTGTTGTTACGAACTCCGCTCATTACTTGTACTAAGGGTCCATGTTTGGCACTATAAGCACAATATCAGCACACACAAAAACGTTCTCATGAGATTTGCTTTGGTTGACAGAGGCATCTTTCTATGCGTCAGATATCTCTGTCAACTAAAGCAAATGTCATAACACGGTTTTTCTTAAACTAAGTTTAATTTCATAAACAAAATTTCAAACAATGACAAAGAAAAATGGCAATACCTGAGCTGCATGCCTCATGTTGGATGGTTCTGGTAAGCGAAACCTTGTCGGGCAACCAAAAGCAAGGTCAGACTCAAATCTTAGACAATATTGCCGCATGGCCAACTCCAATAAACTGTTCTGTTTAGACTGGAAAAAAAAAACACAGGTGTTATATACATTAGTAACAGAATGAAATGCATACAGTCTAAAATTAAAGATAGTTGCAAATCTTATAAAGGATTGTTTGTTGCAAACAAACTTCCATCATTTGATTATTTCTAGTCTGACACAGCAATTTTACAGTCAGTAGTTTGCCAAGTCAAACCCTCTCAGGTGGGATCGAACCCGGCACCCCAGCATTACGAAGCTCATTTGCAACGCCTAAGCCACAGACTCTAGAGGTACTACACCTACAAAAAATTCTTCGTTGAGACCAAGAAGTTACCTAAGAAGAAGGGACTGATGACATTAAAGACATACTACATCCACAAGGAATGATAATAACAAGCACAACCCATCATTCACTGGATTGGACCACAAACTGTTATTGCTCATGACAATTAAGGGTAAATGTAGACAATTATTAACATCCTATCAACTTAAAATGATTTAAGTACGCAGAGATTTGCTTAGATACACATACAAACATCAATACCTCTTTTTAGTTCATCCAAGTACATAAATGCATTGTGCCTGTTTACAACATGACTGCAATATTGACACTGGGCTACAATCTGGTATCAGTGAGAGGATAAAAGAAAGCAGAAAAAGAAGAAAGAAGCAAAGAAGAAGAAGAAGAAGAAAGAAGCCAACACATCTGACTTCTGCTGTAATCTGTTGCCTGGGTTAGCCTTTCTGGCAAACATCAATACTATTACATCATCATGAACACTTCTGATGCTTACCATATCCTGCACGTCCTTGAGTGATGCCAGTACATCGAGATGAAAGCCGTCTGCTTGCCCTCTATCAGTCCCAGCATTCATGTGGTTTCCTATAGCTAGAACTGTTTCCAGCACATGTCTAAGAGGGACGCTGGAAAAGTAATATAAACATTCACTACTAAAGTAATATAAACATTCATTGATAAAGTAATATAAACATTCATTGGTAAAGTGATATAAACATTCATTGATACAGTAATATAAACATTTATTGATAAAGTAATATAAATATTCACTGATAAAGTAATATAAAAATTCATTGATAAAGTAATATAAACTTCACAAATAAAGTAATATAAACATTCACTGATAAAGTAATATAAACATTCATTGATAAAGTAATATAAACATTAACTGATAAAGTAATATAAACATTCACTGATAAAGTAATATAAACATTCACTGATAAAGTAATATAAACATTCACTGATAAAGTAATATAAACATTCATTGATAAAGTAATATAAACAGTCATTGATAAAGTAATATAAACATTCGCTGATAAAGTAATATAAACATTCATTGATAAAGTAATATAAACATCTACTGATAAAGTAATATAAACATTCATTGATAAAGTAATATAAACATAAACATTCATTGATAAAGTAATATAAACAAACATATATTTATTATTCGGTGGGAAGTGAGCAGAGGAGCTGGCCGGTTTTTAATATGCAGGAGGAGATAAGACAGGTGGACTTTAAACTTCTTCAGTACCAAGGAAGGCACCATGCATCTATTGGTGTTGCCAAGCATGTTATTCCTTTCAGAGCTTCCTGCACCTCATCCATCTCTTGAGCTTTAACCCATTCTACTGATATTGTTATTTCAGCTCAATGTGTCCCATTGTGTAATTATTTAAGCCCTTGATACGCAAACACTTATTTAAGGAGGACTAGGCATGTTGTTCAGTTCATGGATGTGTTGCTCAGTTCATGGATGTGTTGTTCAGTTCATGGACGTGTTGTTCAGTTCATGGATGTGTTGTTCAGTTCATGGATGTGTTGTTCAGTTCATGGATGTGTTGTTCAGTTCATAGATGTGTTGTTCAGTTCATAGATGTGTTGCTCAGTTCATGGATGTGTTGCTCAGTTCATGGATGTGTTGCTCAGTTCATGGATGTGTTGCTCAGTTCATGGATGTGTTGTTCAGTTCATGAATGTGTTGTTCAGTTTATGGATGTGTTGTTCAGTTCATGGATGTGTTGTTCAGTTCATGGATGTGTTGCTCAGTTCATGAAATTGTTGTTCAGTTCATTAATGTTGTTTACTTCTTGAATGTTTGTTCAGTTCATGGATGTGTTGTTCAGTTCATGGATGTGTTGTTCAGTTCATGGATGTGTTGCTCAGTTCATGGATGTGTTGCTCAGTTCATGGATGTGTTGTTCAGTTCATGGATGTGTTGCTCAGTTCATGAATGTGTTGTTCAGTTCATGAATGTGTACATGGAAGCAATTTTTATGGAGAACCTTGGGGATATTTCCTGGTGCATGATTTGTGCAATGCTTCTGGTGGACAGTTAGCCATTCTGCTGACAGGACTGAGTTATATGGGAAACACATGGTGCCATGAAGACGATCTACTTGATTTCAACTCTTTCTCATGACAACTGACATTATTTTATTGGAAAGTACCTTTTGCACTTTGTCAAAATCTTCTTTAACCACAGGGTTTTTTGTTTTTATTTCTAAAAATGATCTAGCATCAAATGTTATAACTGCTCCAACACACGCAGGCTGAAGACCTTAAACATGAGGATACCTTCTTCTCAACTGAGATGGGAAATCTGAGTATATCAATCACAGCAGTGGAATATTAAAACCAAACAAGAGCCCAGTTGCTATATAAACCAATATAGAACAGCAGTCAACCTACGAATCCTGCTGAGACAAACTTAGGAGAAAATGTCAGCACTTACGATTATATCTTATGTGCAATGAAGATGATGCTGTAATGGACGGTATAACTGTTTAAGAATGTTGGCATTTACAAAGATGTTAGATTGTGCTTTTTTTTTTTTTTTTAGAGCCCTGTTTTACTAAAATTTACTTCTAAGCTGGTGAATTGATACATGACAAGGCAGATGTGGTCAAGGCCCTTTAGGAACAAGCAACGGACGGATTAGTAGAGAAACAAGATTATTATGCCTGGAGAGAATGAGGCACCTGGGTGTAACCAGAGGGTCTGGCTGGCTCACTACACTCAGAGGAAAGGCAAGACTGACATATAACCAGATTCTGACCAATACTATCAGTATTGGAACTCTGCGCTTGCTGCTGAAGATGAGGACAGAGCACATATGGTAGTGCACTGAGTTCTGTGACGTCAATGCTTGACTTAACTCTTTGAGTCCACAGGCCCAGGGGGTAGTAAATAAAGTCATAAAATCGGCACAACATGCGTTCATTGGGCTTCTAGTTAGGAAGCCATGAACGTATGATGCATTCCTTGGGACTCAAAGAGTTAACTCAACTTACTTCTAAGCCTAGCAGCTTACTGCGTACTGGACCTCTCTTAAACACTGCAGATCCTATTCATTGTCAGCCATCAATACTGTACCATCTGCATGTTATATATTAGTTAATTAGTTAGATGAGCCTATAAGTGCTCAGATCCTACCTTCAGTATCTCTCTCTCTAATAACACCAGTTCTGTGTTGGTTTACTATTCTTCTTTGACTACCTGTATAGAGATCATGTCCGGTAACACCTATATCAGTATGGAGTTCTGTTCTTTTCTTCTTCTTCTTCTGTCCTCCAGTGGAGCATAGACCTCAACCAACTCACGCCAAGTCGTTCTATCCTTCGCTATTGCATACAGCTCACTCGATGTCTTTCCCATTTAACGTCACTCAGTTGGTCCCTTCCCCATGTGTTTTTAGTCTGCCTTCATTTCTCTATGCCCCCTGTGGGTTTCAGTGCAAAGACATTATATTTATATTTTTCTCAGGTTTTCTCAAAATGGGTCCTATCCAACACTAACATCTCTTCTTTTGTTAACCTCTTGGTCCACTGGAAATTGCTTAGTTCTCTCCCAAAGCTCTACATGAGTGATTCTATCATACCATTTAATTCCCTCTATTCTGTGCAGGCACCAGTTAGTGAATGTCTAATTTATTAGTAAGTGTTTTAGTTTTTCTTCATGTTTCTGCTCCATATAACAGTACTGATTTGACCTCAGAATTACAATTTTAGGTTTAGTATTATTTTTAATTTCTTTTGACCTCCACATATGTCCTAGTGCAGACATTTTTGTACTATGTCACAGATTAGAGACATTATGTACTCCCATGACAGTTAAACTCTTGTCCAATGAATACACTTTGTAAATTTGATACTGTATATTGTATGTAACATAAACATATTAGCCGATTTCTCCTGCCTGACCTAACCGAGTGAAAGATGACCTAACCGAGTGAAAGATGACCTGAGTAAATGATGTCCTAACCGAGTAAAAGATGACCTAACTAAGTGAAAGATGACCTAATCAGGTAAATGATGACCTAACCGAGTGAAAGATAACCTAACCGAGGAAAAGAAGACCTAACCGAGTGAAAGATGACCTAACCAAGTGAAAGATTACCTAAATGAGTGAAAGATGACCTAACCAAGTGAAAGATTACCTAAATGAGTGAAAGATGACCTAACCAAGTGAAAGATGACCTAAATGAGTGAAAGATGACCTAACCAAGTGAAAGATTACCTAAATGAGTGAAAGATTACCTAATCAAGGGAAAGAAGTCTAAAGAAACATAAAAAAAAAGGACTCTTTTCTACGCCTTCAGGCATATTGGAAATTCAGAGCTAGACCTACATTTTAGAAACCACTCAACACTCGTGGGAGATGTGCACCTTTACTTCCCAGGACTCTACCTGGCACCCATTTAAGGCTGGATCTGCATATGAACTAAGGTTATTTTTGAAAAAAGTCCGGCTCTGTTCAGGTTCAAACACCCAATCTTCACATCCGCAGGCAAGTATCTAGCCAATACACCACTTGAAACTTAAGGGGTCACTACGCCAAAAAAATTTTATCTTTTTATTTACAGAGTTAGAGCAATTATTTTATAATGGTCATTTGAAGGGATACATGTTATTGCATTTGCATACTTTAAGTGTGAAAAAAATCATGGTTGTCATGGCAATAGCCGCCATCTTGTGGGAAAAAACAACACATACTTAGAATCCAAAAATTTCACAAAAACAAACATTTGTTTTAAAAAATTAATGATAGATTCATGACCTATTATTCCATTTAAAGGTACAGGTGTAGTTTGTTTACTTTAAACATGTTTTTAAATATTTTTTTTAGAATTTTCAAATGAAGGTTTATTGAAAAAGTCAAACAAAATCTTGCATCATAAGAAAATATTCAAATTTTAAAAAACAAAACCTTTTTCAAATCTATTTTTGAAAAGACCAGTCCCTATGATATTGTTTAAGGAGTATCCGTACTAAATTTCATGTTTTTAGGCTTTATATTAGCTGAGATTTTAGGATTTCACACACACACACACACAACAAACATAAATATAGAGATGTGAGAAAACTGACTTTTAAACTTTTTTTTTATCTTAAAAAAGTGCATGGGTTGGTACCTTTAATATTAACTTTTCAAAGCTAAATTGTTTACAAATGACATAAATTTTGTGTGTAATCTATTCTACGAATGCCGAACTTTACAAAAACTAACACATTGAAACAGTGATATTTTTGTCATAAATTGGAAAAAATGCAGTGTAGTGACCCCTTAAAATGGTTAAAGATTAAATAAGAAAAATAACCTAAAATGGCCGTTTTTTTTCTATATTTATGAATAAAACAACTGTTACCAACTTACCTGGATGTAATCTCTTCACAGGCCGTGTGAAGTTCTCTCAATTGTTGATCTACAGGGGATAAAAAAGACATTTGAAATACTTCTTTATAAACGTGAACTAACTTTTTGTACCAATCTGTCATCTTCAGAATTTTTATCTTTTTTTTTTAAATAAATGAAATGATGCGTCAATGTGAACTGAAGACTGCTTTATATATTTGCTGATTGTCCATTTGCTTTTCACTGGCACAGGAAAGGAACAATTAAGTGGCGACGCTTTTGACATGACGTTGAAACAAGGGCTGATAACCTGATTAATCTGATAACACAGCTTATCCTGGTATCATTTTTCTGCCATGTTAAAAGACATTCTTATAAAAACCTTACAGGAGGGATGAATCTAAAGCAAATGAACAAGAGGCAGACAGTGATACAAGTGGAAGGATGGCATCAAGAGACAGATGAACAGCTCAGACAGTGTACATCTAGAGTGAAAGGTCTGTTGGAGCATTATTGCAGACAACCTTGTGGAGATGACACTTGACTGACTCAATGGTCACAGCACTCAATGACAGTGTCTTCTTCTTCCTCAGCATCTGCCCTAAAATGGTAGCTGGCACATTGTGATGTGGTTTGCTATGAAATTGACACATATTTTACAGCGTGCTTGTTAACTCTTTCAGAAAAAGGAACTCACCATGCGTTCACTGGTTACACTATACACAGAACACTTTTCTTCCCCCTCCCTAACCCCTTCTTGTCTGAGTTTAACCCCTTCTTGTCTAATGTCAACCCCTTCTTGTCTGATGTCAACCCCTTCTTGTCTGATGTCAACCCCTTCTTGTCTGAGTTTAACCCCTTCTTGTCTGATGTCAACCCCTTCTTGTCTGATGTCAACCCCTTCTTGTCTGAGTTTAACCCCTTCTTGTCTAATGTCAACCCCTTCTTGTCCGAGGTTAACCCCTTCTTGTCCAATGTCAACCCCTTTTTGTCTGATGTCAACCCCTTCTTGTCTGATGTCAACCCCTTCTTGTCTGAGTTTAACCCCTTCTTGTCTAATGTCAACCCCTTCTTGTCCGAGGTTAACCCCTTCTTGTCCAATGTCAACCCCTTTTTGTCTGATGTCAACCCCTTCTTGTCTGATGTCAACCCCTTCTTGTCTGAGTTTAACCCCTTCTTGTCTAATGTCAACCCCTTCTTGTCCGAGGTTAACCCCTTCTTGTCCAATGTCAACCCCTTTTTGTCTGATGTCAACCCCTTCTTGTCTGATGTCAACCCCTTCTTGTCTGAGTTTAACCCCTTCTTGTCTAATGTCAACCCCTTCTTGTCCGAGGTTAACCCCTTCTTGTCCAATGTCAACCCCTTTTTGTCTGATGTCAACCCCTTCTTGTCTGATGTCAACCCCTTCTTGTCTGAGTTTAACCCCTTCTTGTCTAATGTCAACCCCTTCTTGTCCGAGGTTAACCCCTTCTTGTCCAATGCCAACCCCTTATTGTCTGATGTCAACCCCTTCTTGTCTGAGTTTAACCCCTTCTTGTCTAATGTCAACCCCTTCTTGTCCGAGGTTAACCCCTTCTTGTCCAATGTCAACCCCTTTTTGTCTGATGTCAACCCCTTCTTGTCTGATGTCAACCCCTTCTTGTCTGAGTTTAACCCCTTCTTGTCTAATGTCAACCCCTTCTTGTCCGAGGTTAACCCCTTCTTGTCCAATGTCAACCCCTTTTTGTCTGATGTCAACCCCTTCTTGTCTGATGTCAACCCCTTCTTGTCTGAGTTTAACCCCTTCTTGTCTAATGTCAACCCCTTCTTGTCCGAGGTTAACCCCTTCTTGTCCAATGCCAACCCCTTATTGTCTGATGTCAACCCCTTCTTGTCTGAGTTTAACCCCTTCTTGTCTAATGTCAACCCTTCTTGTCCGAGGTTAACCCCTTCTTGTCCAATGTCAACCCCTTTTTGTCTGATGTCAACCCCTTCTTGTCTGATGTCAACCCCTTCTTGTCTGAGTTTAACCCCTTCTTGTCTAATGTCAACCCCTTCTTGTCCGAGGTTAACCCCTTCTTGTCCAATGCCAACCCCTTATTGTCTGATGTCAACCCCTTCTTGTCTGATGTCAACCCCTTCTTGTCTGATGTCAACCCCTTCTTGTAGTATGTAAACACCTTATTTTCCAGTTGTTTTCATAACACCTTCTCTCCCAAAGTTGTATATTTTTATTCTATGATTATTGCTATTGAAAAAAAAAATGAAAAAAAAGGACCATTTTCCCACACCCTCAGCGTATTGGCCATAAAGGCTCAACCTATATATTATAGACAGATCAGCACTTGGTGGTTGATATGGTCAATATCATGCTGGCTGCCTTTACTTCCCAGGACTGCACCTGGTACCCACTCAAGGCTGGGTCGACCTGGGAGCCAAGGTCATTTTGTTAAGGAAACCCAGTTCCGTCAGGATTTAAACCCACGACCTTCTGATCCGCAGGCGAGGGTCTAGCAGCTACAGGATGGCGACTCCGGATTATTGCTATAGGATACAAAAACTTTAACACAGACATTTTCTAAGTCAGCCCTACATGGGACTGAAAGAGTTAACTCTTTCAATCCCAAGAAAGGCATCATACATTCACAAGTTCCCACTTAGAAGCCCAGTGAACACAAGATATGCCGATTTTACATCTCTCCTTACCTCTTGGACTTCTGATGCTAAACCCACTGGGACCGAGTTGAGGAGCAGGGGGTCAATTATCTGTTTCCCCTAGAACCCACAGGGGCAGTACAACAAATTGTACATATGAAAAACTTACCAATCTCCCAGAATCCACATGGGCAGTACAACAAAGTGTAGATGAAAGGAAAAAAAACTTGAATCTCCCAGAACCCAGCGTGCAGTACAACAAATTGTACATGTGGAAAACTTACCGATCTCCCAGAACCCACATGGGCAGTACAACAAATTGTACCTGTGAAAAACTTACCAATCTCCCAGAACCCACATGGGCAGTACAACAAATTGTACCTGTGAAAAACTTACCAATCTCCCAGAACCCACATGGGCAGTACAACAAATAATATGTGTGAAAAACTAACCAATCTCCCAGAACCCACATGGGCAGTACAACAAATAATATATGTGAAAAACTTACCAATCTCCCAGAACCCACATGGGCAGTACAACAAATAATATATGTGAAAAACTTACCAATCTCCCAGAACCCACATGGGCAGTACAAAAAATAATATATGTGAAAAACTTACCACTCTCCCAGAACCTACATGGGCAGTACAACAAATAATATATGTGAAAAACTTACCGATCTCCCAGAACCCATATGGGCATTTAAAAAAATTGTACATGTGAAAAACCAATCTCCCAGAACCCACATGGGCAGTATAACAAATTGTAAATATAAAAAACGTACAATCTCCCAGAACCCACAACAAATTGTACATATGAAAAACTTACCAATCTCCCAGAATCCACATGGGCAGTACAACAAAGTGTAGATGAAAGAAAAAAAAAAACTTATCAATCTCCCAGAACCCAGCATGCAGTACAACAAATTGTACATGTGGAAAACTTACCAATCTCCCAGAACCCATATGGGCATTACAACAAATTGTACATGTGACAAACTTACCAATCTCCCAGAACCCACAACAAATTGTACATATGAAAAACTTAACTAATCTCCCATGAGCAGTACAACAAATCGTACATGTGACAAACTTACCAATTTCAAAGAGGTTTATCTGGATCTTATTCTTAAACCTCAGAAACTCCAGCCTCTCTCTGAAGTGGTCAATTTTTGATAATTCAGAGATGAGAAACTCTGGAGCATCAAGCTGGCCTGGTAAAATAAACAGATTAAAAAAAAGGGAAATGGTCAAAAGGGTCAACTTCATTGCACCAGTTTTATCACATATGACTCTCTCTCTCTCTTTCTCTCTCTCTTTCAGCAGAGTGACAAGCTGTCTGCTGAAAATATCGCACATAGCATAGACTCAGTAACAGTATCAATGATCTCCAGGGCATTTCCATACAAACTGCACTCATAAGCTGAAGGAAATGATCATGCAACCTTTAGAGAACTAGGCTAATAGCAGTAGCTAGAGCAATTTGGTCATGGAGACTCCCAAACAAACACAAGTCCCTAGTCACCTTTTATGACATGCTTGTCAGCAGGCATTGGGTCTGTTCTTTATTTCTTTCAAATTGGGAAGGGGGGGGGGGAGGGGGGAAAGGGGTCCTTTCACCGAACACTTATGATATAACGGGACAGTCCAATATTTTAGAGGGTGGTAAGAGCGGACTGTCCATGTTGTCTGTGCTTTAGCTCATTTCTTGCAAGGCCAAGGTTTTCGTGCGTTTACCTAACCCTAACCAAAACTATTCGCTTAATCTACCACCCCTGAAATATTAAGACTGTCCTATGACCTGTGGATTTCCCCAGTTCATGATCGGCTAGTAAGAAAGGGGTCCCACATAGAAAATGGAAACAGAGGAGCTATCCTGGAGTGGTTGTAACGAAGGACCGAACACACATGGGAAAACCCAGCACAATATACAATGACATCCATAGTAATATTATAACACAGCAACTATGGAAGCTACTACTAAAAAAGACAACAAAAATTTTGTAATCCTTAGCTTTCACAGAAGATATAAACAAAAATAAATTAACTCACCTGCTCCTCTCTTCTTGGTGTGATGGGATATTTGATCAAGATCCCGCTGTGACTTCAACAACTCTAGAAGTTCAGCAAAACTGTCTGTGTGGAGGCCATCACAGTTCAAGGTCATAAATACTTGTGTGATGTCTGTGAGTGTGCAATGCAGGGATCGTAGCTCGGATACAATTCGTTGAGACCTCTCGGCATCATAAATGGACACAAGCTGTCAACATGACAAAAAATACTGAACTGAAAACAAATTTGGACTTGAAATTTGTGGATGTTACACTGGAGACAAATAGAATTAACTGATAACGTTTGTCTGCTTGGAAAGCAGCTTTGATTACCAAGAAAATACAAATTATGACACGCAATTGGCAAGGCAACAGTTTTTAAAAGCCTAAACAAAATGCAGAAAAGAATATGGAAATTATACTTTTTTTTCAAGTATCCAGAAGCCATGAGTTGTTCCCGTAGGCTCGGTATTATGGATATCACAACCTTTCGGCCTTGATTCCATTATAAATACCGTAAATCTGGGAGAAATGTGGCTTTTCTGCCTACCCCCGGGGGTGAACCCGGACCACAAGGAGTTCCTCACCCGGTCACCGCGCAATCCGGTTTAGCCAACTATGCTAGAGAGCCGGGCAAAAATTAGTTTTAAAACCATGCTATGTATTTATAATTCTGTAATATCAATTTTAACATATGCCAGTAAAGAAAGAACCCCTAAGACTTGGGGGAGGAAAACTAAATGCATAAGGAAAGAAATGCCTAAGAAAATTGGTGAACATTAAATAGGATGAATTTAAGAAAGGATAGAAGTTTTTTTTAAAATGCATTTGATATTTTTCACAACCTGTCAGAAACGGTATGGAAATCTCAATGCAAAATGTAATTTCAAACCTAAAAGAGTATATTATGTGAAAGAAAACAAAAATAGTAGACTCGGTGACCTGTTTTCTAATATCTGCTAGAAAACATCTGGGTATAATTAGGTAAACATTTGACATCACAGCATTCAGCACAAGCCCACATTAGCTCCGTTTCCCTCCTTAACAGCCAACAAAGAATCTCCAAACTAATGTTACCTGTTATCATCCGGTTAAATACTTATCTTGCCCATTACTTGAGTTTTGAGTGATACCCAAAGCTTGCAGACACACCCTGCCGCACATTCTCTCCTGGTACAGGTTTTAAGTATTTTCCATTTTACTTGTTATCCTCTGCCTTGTGTGGTTGCCGTACACCCCAATGGGGCCAGTCCAGCCAACCTATCTTTCTGCTCATTCCCAAAGACATGGCCAGGACAAAACATCCATGTGACTCTCACTACTCGTGACATTCAGATTGACACTAATGATCCATTCCATGCGGAAAAACCTGCCTCACCCTTCCTGAGCTTGGTTTCTGAATCAAATACTATGACATGTGTGTCTGAGATTTTCTCCAATCATCAGAGAAACTGCTGGAAAAGTCAAAAAGTATCTGACTTTCTTTATTGTCTGTGATTACCCATTCTTAGGTGGTTGCAGGACGGGGTGGATCATGAGCCTGAGGATTAACTCTTTGAGTCCCAAGGAACGCATCATACGTTTATAGTTTACTGCCTAGAAGCCCAATGAACGCCATAATGCGCCGATTTTACATCTCTCTTGACTACAAAGAGTTAAGGGCCACACCACTGATGATGTCAAGTATCTTCATTTCTGCCTCCAACTGAGAAAACTTCCATTACTGACAGTTTGAAATTGTGTTTCCCAAATGAGAACCCAAAACTTTAACTGCCAGCCAGCAGCTGCATCTAAGAACTAATTGTTCAAAAACAAACACAACAAATTAAAAAGAAGAATTGATAAATGAGTATGCCTGCATACAAAATAATTAGTACAAACCTGTGTTTGATTCCTCCCTCCTCTTCTTAGACAAATGTCATCATAGAGATTAACTTCAGAGATTTCTCTACACTCTGAGAACAACCTAAACAAAATAAAAATAGATTTATATGAAATACATTTGCTGGAGATGTAAAAATTCTTTTCTTTTTTTTTTTTGTGTTTAGCTGTAAACTCTGACAGAAAGCTTTGACTGTTCATCCACTTCTAGACTTTGGTTTTGTTTCAGAACTTCAGTTTTGTGTGCACATCCATTTAACAGATCTGGCTTATTTACATACAAACCGTTGGTTCCTTGTTGTTTCTCAAGCAGATACACTCTGACTTTGAAGGAAACTTCCCCCAACTAGTTGCCTTTTATGACATGCTTGTTGTGGGGCAGTGGGTCTGTTTTCCCCCTCCCACAGTGGAATCCTGGAACCCACCAGGAAAACCTCTATTACAAAGACAGCACCAGTTCCAGGTGTGACCGAACAGGTTACAAATACTTAAACATATATATTGATGCGGCCAAACTTAACAACAATTGCTTGAAAGAAGCTAATGGAAGTAGATCTTCATATACAACAATAAGAAAGAGACAAACACTGTTCTTTGGCAACAAAATTAGAAGATAGACACTGGAATACTTCGTGCAACTGGAAAGATTAGTGGAAAAAGGGGTAGAGGCAGACCAAGAGAGATGATGCTGGATGGGCTGAAAAGATGGCATGGAGGGATATCAACAAGAGAGCTGTTCCAGGCAACCAGGGATCGTGATCTGTGGAGAAGTATGAGCGCCTACACCAGTTGGCAGGGCACATGATGATGATATACTGATAACCCGCATCAGAAAAACATAATCCACGCTTTGGGCATATCCTGAGAAGGTGAAACTGGAACACCTTGCAGAAACAGGAACGTTACAGAGGAAGAGAGTTGGTTAGACAGGAAGAGAAGAAAGATAAAAATAAAAGATGCTGAACAGTTTGGAATTATTCTATGAAAGAAAATTTGTCTCAGAAATGATTGAAAGATATATGACTGAAGGCCGTGGCCATATATATTTACTAATGTCACATGGTGTGAACAATCAATCAATCAGGTGCCGTCTCCACAATGAAGGTTGGCTGCAATGGATCTCCAACAAGCCCTGTCTCTTGCCCTTGATGTACACTCACTCATACTGCTGTTCATCCATCTCTTGATGTTATCCTCCCACTTGTAACGCTGTCTGCCTCTTGCTCGCCTACCTTGAACCTTTCCTTCTAGGATGATCTTTACAATACTGTTATGTCTTTTAATGTGACAAAAATACAAATAATATAACAAAACAATCATAAAGCCTCCAAACTCAATTATAACTACATACCAATGTAAACAAAAACAGAACAAATAATCTACATTTTAGAGTCATCATCATCGCGTGCTCTGCCGACTAGCGTAGGCATTCATGCATCTCCACAGATCTCGGGCACTCGTCCTCTGGATCCTTTTCACAGATAATATCCCTCTGTGCCACCATTGCAATCCATCCGTTTTAGAGTAACGAGGTAAAGACAATGATTGATGAAAGCTTACCTCTGCAGTTCTTCTGTGTCAATTCTTGGTTCTGTCATTCCATGCCAGATAGTATTTGATTGTTTTCCTCCTGCAGTCAAAACAAAGAATGAATCCATCAATGCACTGTTTTTTAATGTATACTTTTGAAGTCAGTATGCGACTTAGGTGTAGTGAATGTGCTGTGTAATGCCGAAGTGCCAGGTTCAAAGCTAAAGGTGATTTGGCAGTAGACCGCCTTCTGTTGGTTTTGACAGTAGTAGTGAGAGACGACCGTTCAGAGAGCAATGGCGAACTACTAAATGTAAAACTTCCTGGTAAAATAACAGCCAACAAATAAATGCTGGTCTTCATGCACAGTGAACTGTGAATAATGTGCAACTATCATTTTTTTTTTTCATGAGTAGCAGTTGGTTGAGTGGTAAAATCACAACCAACAATTAAATGCTGGGTTTCATGCGCAGGGTCCTGTGAATGAAGAGCAACTATCTGTACTTTTGAATATGAGTAGCAGTTGGCTGAGTGGTTCAGAACACTGGGCTCTCATTCAGAAGACCCAGGTTTAAAACCTTGGTAAGGGGATTGGTTTTTTTTTCTGTCTGGGGCCAAACTAAAATCTCTGATGTTGAGGATTTAGGGCCACATAGTGAAAAATACAGGCACTAAACACAGAGAGTAAAGACTGTCATAGTATAAGTTTTGCAAAGTGAGGCATAATCATGTTTTTTTTACAGAGAATGGGTGGCATCAATCCAGAGGTTACAGGTGGTGAAAGTCACATGGATATTTTGCCTGGGAATGAGCAGGCAGATAGGTTAGCTGGGCTGGCTGCACTAAGGGTGTGCTACAACTGCACAAGATAGAGGTGATCTCTCACCTGTCGCATGAGGTAATAAGTAAAGTGGAGGATACTGGAAAACCTTACCTGCAGAGAATGATGCACAATGAAGTTTATACGGGCACTAGGCACCAGCTACTGGAAACCTTCGAGAATGATGCACAAGGAAGTGTCTACGGGCACTAGGCACCAGTGAAGACTCAGGGGAAAGGTGAGATGAGCAGTTTACCAGATGACAATGGATACCATCAGTATAGAGATTCTTCGCTGGCGGTTGAGAAGGGTAACTGAGTTAATATGGGCTCGTCCTGAATTCTGTGGTATCGAATCGTTACCAGAAGAAATCAAGATGTTGACCCATAGCAGAGTCTTTTGCATATGGTGATAAAGAGGATTTCTGGTTCTTTATTAATATCCTACCCCAAACAGGGAAAGTCCACAGGTTACGGGACAGTCTAATATTTCAGGGGGTGATAGATAATAGGCTTCATGCAGTCGTGAGACCTAGGCTGCATGCAGTCGTAGGACCTAGGCTGCACTCGCTCGTGGGACATAGGTGGGTTGGGGTTAGAGCCAGTTCTAGATGTTTTGGGGTCGTTAAAAGCATCAGAAAGTCAGGAAACCTAGTCTTACCACCCTCTAAAATGTTGGACTATCCTGTGACGTCATATGGGGTAGGATATTAAAAAAGCACCGGATTTTTAAGCCCAATTCAGCCCTGAAGTTGAGCCAGCCTAATAAAAATGAGTGCAAACAATTTTAAATATTTTTGTTTAAAGCTATGGCATCAGCTCTCAATTTTTAATTACAATAATTAATTACTCCTTGTAATATTTGCGTTTTAAAGATTCACAACTCATTGTTTTCTTCTTTATGTTGACCTGCTGTAAACTCTAGTGGAAAGTTATGGTTGTTCGTCCACTTTTGGACTTGAGTCCTGTTTCAGAACTTGTGCTTCATTTGTGCATATGTTTTACAGATCTGGCTTATTTGTATGCACCGTTGGTTCCTTGCATCACAGGCAGATGCACTTAGTCTTTAGTTTTTCAATGCCTTGCCTCAATATGGGATGTAATTTTTGTGGGCTTTTTTAAAGCCCCCATATGGTCAGGAGCCCTAATATAACCTAACAGTTGAATAGGGTTCCTGGGACTTGTACCCAGATGATTCTCATCTGAACTGTGGCACTTTGTGTTCCTGGGTGTTTATCACTCGTATATGCATTCCTAGTGGAGTTGAACGCCCCTCACTCCTACGGAAACACCACTAATCAGCCAACTCTTATGACATGTTCTTTAGGAAGGCAGTGGGTATTTCCCATTTTCCTCCTACATTGGAGCCCCTGAACCCACATAGGGAAAATATTCACAAGGAACAACACAGCACAGTGGTTCTCAACCTTCCTAATGTTGTAACCCTTTGGTACAGTTCCTCATGATTATTTTCGTTGCTACTTCCTAACTTCAATGAATATGTTTTCTGATGGTATTAGGCGACCCCTGTGAAAGTGTCATTCGACACCCAAAGGGGTCATGACCCACAGGGTGAGAGCCGCTAACATAGCAGGATGCTCAAAGATAGAACAGAAATAAGTTTTTCACATAATCTTGTACAAATATAGCTGGATGTTGTGAAGGCTCATTGGAAGCAATTGAACAGTGCGGAGGCACAGATAGATCATTATGGTCTGGGGAGAATAGCGCTGCAAGGCGTTACAAGGGGATCTGGCCAGCGTTCAACACTCAGGGAAAAGGTGAGGCAAATATACAATCAGACAGTTACTGGTACCATCTGAATTTGAACTCTTTGCTTGCTTCTGAAGATGGCGACAGAGCGCTTATGGGGGTGTACCAAGTGCTGTGATATCGATTCTTAATTTAACATTTTTTGTACAAATACATACCATTGCTTTCTAGAATAATCCTTGACCATGGTAGAGACTTCATTGTAACATCTGTCCGAATGATTGGCTTGTTGGGATAGACTCTCGATCCTTTGCCTGGTCGAGGTGGTAGAGGTGGAGGCACCCGGTCACTTTCAGAGTTTGTAGAATCTGTCACCACATTCTTCCCATCCACTGTTTTTCCTTCTGAATTTTATGAAAACAGAAATCAAAGACTGAGGAGTACCTGTTTGAATAAAATAGTAACATGCATCTTCTTCTAGTTTCACCCTTGAAAGGGTGATTGGCACATTGCACTGTGGTTTACAACAAGGCTGTCTTCTTCTGACTGACTGACTGACTTTCTACCCCACCAGGACATCACACAAGCGATAAACACCCGATGACACAAAGTGCCACCATGCGGATGAGGATCGCCGTGGAGAGGTCCCAGAAACCGCGTTCAGACATTTGGCCATAATGTTGACCTGCCTATATTGCGGCCCCTGGCAAAAGCCAGAGTGGGGCTTCAAATAACAAAAAATAACGTCCTAAGAAGGACGTAAGGAATGCATTAGTAGTAATCTTCTTCTTAGGTGGTAAACTGAGTAGAAAGCTCTGGCTGTTTGTCCAGTTTTGCATGAATTTTGCATGTACATCCATTTTACAGATCTGGCTTATTTGTATGCAGACTGCAGGCTACTTGACTCCCAGGCAGATTCATAGGGACTTCAAAGGAAACATCACCAACTCCTCATATTTTATTCTTCTTCTTCTTCTTGTTCACCGGCTGTGAATTCCGGCGATAAGTCGCGGTTGTTCGTCCAAAATGGACTTTTGGCTTTTACCTTGACCTGAGTTTTGCGTGTACATCCGTTTTACTGTCTTATTTGTTTGCAGTTCTCGTTCCCCGCCTCTCCGGCAGATGTACTCCGACTTCGGAGGATCATATTTTATAATATGCTTGTTAAGGGGCATTGGGTCTCCTCCTACCCTCCACAGGCAAATCGTCTTCCCTCCACAGGCAAATCGTCTCCCCTCCACAGGCAAATCGTCTCCCCTCCACAGGCAAATCGTCTCCCCTCCACAGGCAAATCGTCTCCCCTCCACAGGCAAAGCGCCTCCTACCCGTCAAATCCAATTTTAGCAAACCCTCATTACCAGCCTTCTTTAAGATGTTTATTAAAGGGCATTTTATATATATATAAAAAGCAAACAGACAATGTATTGATTAGCAATCATAGAAATTATTAAAGGGCAGTGAATATACTGTGCCTCCCCGCTTCCCGATCCCAAACAGGGCCCCGGAACCCAAAAGAGAAGCACTACAAATAGTATCAGCATTTGTTAACAATTAAAACTGATTTGATGATTTGATTGATATTTGTTCCCTATGGGTTGCTATATAAAGATTTGACACCTAGTGACCCACACCATGGCTACTGATTCAGAAGGTCCCCATGTGGGTTCTGGGGCCCTATTTGTTTGGAAAACAAGAACAGACCCACTGCCTCCCCAACAAGCATGTCATAGGAGTCAACCAATTGGGGACTTTCTTCGATGTCAGAGGGCATCTGCCCGAGCGGCAAGGAACAACCAGCTGTACACAAATAAGCCAGTAAAACAGATGTACACACAAAACCAGGCCCTGGCACAAAGCCAAAGTCCAAATGGACGAACAGCCAGGACCTTCCGCCTGAGTTTACAGTCGGTGAACAAAGAAGAAGAAGAAGAAGAAGAAGGAGAAGGAGGAGAAGAGGAGGAGGAGGAGGAGGAGGAGGAGGAGGAGGAGGAGGAGGAAGGAGGAGGAGGAGGAGGAGGAGGAGGAGGAGGAGGAGGAGGAGGAGGAGGAGGAGGAGGAGGAGGAGGAGGAGGAGGAGGAGAAGAAGAAGAAGAAGAAGAAGAAGAAGAAGAAGAAGAAGAAGATTGAATATTTGTTCCCTACTGGTTGCTATATGAAGGTCTGACACTCAGTAAACCAATGAGCCACACCCTGGCTGTTAATTCAGAAGGACAAATTGTAGATATCCCATCGAATTATATATCCATATAATGACATTAACTCTTTCAATCTCTACATTATTTTTGTCACCCTTTTAGTCCAGAGAAGTTGAGGTAAAAGCAATAAATACTTACATATGAAAGAGTTTAACAGAGATACTATGGGAAATAAGCAGTTAAACTAATAATTCTGATAAAAGGGGTTAATATAACAAATTCGTGTGACTGGAGACAGCAGAAACATCATGTTATCTTTGAAATAATTAGAAAATGTATGGTAAGTTGTTTGTGGTATTGAAAGAGTTCAGCTCTGATTTGTCTACAAAACTATGCAGTTAGTAAGTAACAAAAAAAAAGTAAGTAAAGTATTCTTTTCCACACCTTCAGGTGTACTGGGCACATAGGGCTAAGCCTATATTTTAAATACCAATCAGCACTTGGTGTGTGACCTTTATTTCCCAGGACTGCACCTGGCACCCTCTCAAAGCAGGGCAGACTGGGAGCCTAGGTCATTTTTTAAGAAAGCTTGGTTCTGTTAGGACCCGAACCGAACTTTCATGCAGCTAGTCTCATATGCTTAATATGCTTCTTGATATGGAAATTCTATTCAATATCCTCATCATGTCACTGTTAATACTTAAGGCCTTCATGAGTGATTTCCCCTGCTGACAGTCTGCTATTTGTTCCCCCTTCCAAATTTGCATTCTGTAGGACTAACATCATGTGGACGAGAATCAAACAGGTACAAATCCTGGAAACCCTGTTCAACCATACAGCCATTTAGCACAGCTATACTGGAGCACCACAAATGGTTACGGTTATACTTCAGTCTTGCCTTTCCTCTGAGTGTATAGAACTGGCCAGACCCTCTGGTTACACCCAGGTGCCTCATTCTCGCCAGGCCATAATAATCTTCTATCTCTACTGATTCCGTTGCTTGTTCCCAAAGGGCCTTGGCCACATCTGCCGTGTCATGTATCAACACTGGCCGTCTAAACTTACCAGGAATCCACCTGGTTTCCATTCATGGCTGGGTCGACCTGGGAACCAAGAGGGGGGGAAAAAATGCCTTGGTTGGTAATATAATACTAGTATGACACATGAATAACCCGATACCACTATAAAGACAAAATCATAAATCAAAAAAATCATAAATATTTACATTGTAACCTGTACGACATCACCTTAGGTCTGACTTACCTAGAATATTGAGAATGGCTAATTTTCCTGGCAGAATGCCATACGGGGATGATTTGTTTGAACTGTGCTCTAACATCTCGGCTATGTTACGCAACTCATGCATTTTGGCCATCAGCTTGTTTATTCGGCTCTCATACGTACGGAGCACATTCTGATGTTCCTTTTTCATTCTCCTCATCTCTTCTAGAAGCTGCTTCTCATTATCTGAGTACGAGTACGCACTTTCTGGCCATCTCCGGCCATTATCCATTCCATCATTAACACTACTTTCTGCCCATTTAGTCCTACTCCCATTACTCTGGCTACTATCATCTTCAGGTCTATTATTTTTCGGAACTCGCAGCTGATTTCCACTGAAGTGAGATACACCTGGATCCAGCCAACTTTGCATTTCAGGCGGAAATGCCTGCGTCTGGTTGTGGTTAAACTGCTCTGTGGTTCTTCTGTCATTATCTCTGTTAAGAACTGGTTCAGAATGTCTGATTTTGGCATTTTCTAAATTATCCAATGATTTTACAGACTTGTTATGACTGAGCATTGCTGCTTGTTGATAGGGAGCATCTCTGTGGTTCATGCTAGTGACATCTGAGAGTGATAACTGATGTTGTGAGTTCTCATTGGTGCTGATCAGTCTCTCATCAGATACTAGATTATGTTCTGTGTTCATTCTGCTGGCCTGTTCTCTGTTTACTTCTGGAATATTTTGATGTAATGCAGGAGAATTATGCTGAAGATGGTGTTTCTGTTGAAATGATTTTCTGTCTTGCTGAGGGTGATTTAAATGTAATGTTTCATGTGGCACAGTGACAGAAGAGGAAATTTTATTGTCTACACTAGATGAATTACCAGCTGGAAGTTTACAATTCTTTCTTTTAGTTTTATTATCTCTCAACCTTCCTTGGTATGCCTGATTCTCAAGTGAACTGTCTGTAGAATGCACCACATCTTTCCTGTTTTCTAGTGTGCTTGTGTGAGGCGTGTTGCTCTGGCTCCAGCCTTCCCTATGACCTGGTTGTGACTTCGTGTTAGAACCTGGTTTGGGAACAAAACCAAAGTCGTGTTCTAGCTCTTGAAAGAAAGTATTGTAGGATGTGACAATGTTGTAGGTTTCACTTCTGTTCAATAGTTTGCTTCTAATATCTTGAATCAGCTGCCAGCTGATCTGCCTGTTGGCTTTTTGTCAGTTTTAGAATTGCTGGAAAGAAATAAACAGTTCATATTTAGTAACAATACAGAAAGATATGTTGAACGTCCTATATCTGACAGTTACTAGAAACTGATCTGAGTAGCTTGTGCAAATGTGACAAACCTGGTTAGGATTTTGTTTTAAAGGTTGGATCAAAAGTCGTCTATAAAAAAAAAAACTATTGAACATTCTTAGAGAGCAAGAATCATTGAATTTGCTTAAAAATCTATCGTACGGTTATATTAGTTATAAACAACAGCATTATGTATAAAGTGGCACATAATGCCAGATAAAGAAGCTCTTTCAAGCCAAATTAATATTCTATACTAGGGCTTTTAAAATGGAGGGTCAGAGGTAAAATCTGGCCCATGGGGGCCTAGCAAGAGGCCCATAGATCACTCACTGCCAGATGTATTGTATTAATGATCCCTCTGTACTTAGGCTCGGGCTTCTGGCCTGTGACGATCATCACTTTCCAAACTTTGGCCCCTGAGTAAACCTTGTTGAATGGCCCTGTGCTCTACTTCCATGACCCAAAAAAAATAGTATTAAAATTTTTAGGTTTTGGTTCAATATTTTAGCAATCTGTCCTGCATTATCATTCTAACTACCCTAGGTCAGGATCCACATTTATCCTTCTTGGACATTGATGCACATAACTGTTAGGGAAAAGGGTCTATGCTTCAACTCTATAACACCAAGAGAGGCGTTTGTTTGGGGTTTTTGTTCTTCAGCATTACTGTAACAGATACACTGTGGTGAATAAGGTACCTTTAAAGGCATTTTGGTTTGAGTATAGGGACCTTTATTTCAAGGGGAAAAGCCCTGGGTGTTTCCCTAATGACTTTCTTGGGTACAGGAAAAAAGTAGGAAGGATCTATTTGTATATCAGTTAGAAAAAGTATTAGCTTTATTGTTCTTCTTCTTCTTCTTCTTCTTCATTTGCCCTTAGAAAAAGCTGTAGGTATGATGTGTTGTGGTTTACAGCTAGCCTGAAATATCTGTACCTTCCGTGAAACATGTTGATTTGAGAAAATCTATAATTAGTCGCCTTATTCAGACATAGGGTTATGCAAATTAGCTGCTGGATCAGAAGAGCAGTACTCTGTCCTGTCCAAAATTAAAGAAAACCCTGAACTTATCACTGCTTGCAGTCTGCCCACCAAAGGTCTTGGGTTACATTCTATACCCAGGCAGAGTTTGTTTTTTAAATATGTGACCTTGACACTAACGTTGACCATACCTTCTTCTTCTTCTTTTTTCATTCGCTTGAAATAGATTATATCTGCAATGTCTCTAGTATGAACTTCATCATCTTTTGAAATTCTCTCAGCGACCTGTAAAGTTGGATTTGCATCGATGCTTTTCTTTTCCAAAAGTTTTGCCTTGATATGCTGTATTTGTTGTCCATGCCAAAAATGGTTCACGGGAAATTGAATGGAAAGTAAAGATGATCAGCTTTTACTTTGACCACATGATCCAAAGAGTATCAGTCGATCTATACAAATATCTAGCATCACATACCCGATTCCCCAGGGGCATAAAAAAGAGCCTCTTTCCTTTCACTTTTACTTGTTCTGCATTCGACATCAGCCATGCTAAACATATAGTCCCGTCTGGGTCACAAATAGGATTGTGCATCTGAAGTTGCCGCCGGTCCCCAACAGCTTCTCTTGTGATGTAGTTCCCTTGGGCCAGATCCACAAGCTTTGGTGGGTGTAGTTAGGGCAGTCCTGCAGTGTTCCTTTCACTTGTTTTACTTACTACTGTTACAGAGAGCCACAATGGTGTAGCTTCTGTTCACTCGCATGTGCGTTCAAAAGTCAGGGGTTCAAATCCGAACGGAGCCAGACTTTTTTTTTTAAACGACCTTATCTCCCAAGATGACCCAGCTTTAATGAGTATCACGCAAAGTCCTGGGAAGTAAAGGTGGCTGGCCTCATCACCCACTGAGTGTCAACTGATCTATAAAATATAGGTCTAGCACTATATGCCCACTGGGAGCCGCCGTGGTGTAGCGGCTAGAGGCTAGGGATCAGAAGGTCATGGATTTGGTTCCTGATAAGAACCGGACTTTCTTTCAAAAATGACCTTAGCTCCCAACGTTGACCCAGCCTTGAGCGGGTACCAGGTGCAGACCTGCGAAGTAAAGGCAGCTGGCGTGATGCTGACCAAATCACCCACCAAGTACCGTTTGGTCTATAAAATATAGGTCTAGCCCTATATGCCTATTAAATGCCTAAAGATGGGGAAAAGGGTCCTTTTACTATTATTACAAGCAGATATAAAAAAAAAATCGTTACCTATATGAAGACCCAGCTGAGATCAAAATGTGTCCATGCTCTGCTTCTGGTCGCTCAAGATCACACCACACGTACAACTGAGCTGAATCCTCAAAATCCTTGGCCCCAGAAATGCTCTGTATGTGTCCTTCTCGAAACAACCTCCTGGCAAACTTACATGCTGTTATTCTACTTGGAAAAAAACTGGCATTTGTTTCTACCAGTAAGGAGATGAGAACAGTTCCTTTAAACACGTTTCGGTTTTTAGCTACTGTGCCTTTTCTTCTCTCCATCTGAAAGAAATAGAAATTTTATTTGAATATGAGTATTTTTTATTTCTAAATTGTTATTTTTGCACTTATTTCATTTTTAAACAGTACTTTCATGTTGACAGTTGAATTTAAAAATCAAATCGTAGCATTTGGGACACTCCCATAAGCGCTCCATCCCCATCTTCAGCAGCAAGCGAAGAGTTCCAATTTCGATGGTACCAGTAACTGTCTGAATGTACATCTGTCTCGCCTTATACCCTTACAGTGTTGAGCCTCGACCAGATCCCCTGGTAACTCCCTACAGCGCCATTTTTCTCAGACCGTTATGATCTATTTGTGCCTCTGCACTAATTACTCACCGAAAGGGCCCTCACAACATGTAGCTTGTCATACATCAATTCACCATCAACTGGTGCAGAACCAGCCAGTCTGTCTGTCTGCTCGTTTCCCAACACACCAGTACAACCTGGAGAAAATATCTAAAGGATGCTAACTTCCCGGGACCTCTAAAGCGATACCTACCAATAGTATTTTACAAGCAACTGTGTGCTAGGTATATAGCAGTTGTCACTTTCCTATCTTTCCAAGCGATAGTGTTGTACTGTGCTATATGGGGCGGTGTGTGAATCACAGTCCATGGTTATGGTGCGTGCGACTAGCAAGACCAGCACAGTGTGTAACAATATTAAGTACAAACAATATAACAGTATAAATATTAAAAAGCCTAACATAATCAAATAGCTAGGCGTATTAATTTAATTTAATATGAAAGTACACAAAGTGGAAGAGCTGGCGAGAGACTGAGTTTCTTTCAGACAGACCGTGATGAGAGCGACGTTCTGCAAAGGACTTGCTAAATGATAATGATGATTAATTTAAATTAAGTTATGTGTTTAGGTAAGAAACCATCGACCCGGCTGCTTCGAGATACCAGCTAAGTGATTTTATGTATTTGTGTAGTATTGTTTGATTTGTATGTGCTGATGAAAGCTCCATAGCCGCAACGGTCACGTTTTATTTGTATTTGTTATATTGTGAAGCTTGCTTATATACTTTTCGTTCGGTTTTATATCTTTTCTAGAATATTTAATGTTGAGCTAATACACAGGAAATGGGAACGAGTCAGTCTGCAACACATAAGGACAGTCTTCACTATAAGAAAAAGGTTTGAAGGGATCAGTAACAGAAGGAATGGTTTCTGCAGCGCTGCCAGTGGGATTTTTTTTGAAAAACCCAGCTTCGCTAAACAAAAACCCAATCAATACATAGACAAAGAACAAAAAAAACAAAATAAAAAACCCAGATTCTTAAAATCTACACAATTTATATTTACGAAACGAAACATTTACCACTTTTATATAAAGATATATATTTTTTTAAAACCCAGATTCCCCCCAGGCGTCAAATAAAAACCCAGATCTGGGGAAAGAACTCAGCATTGGGAGCCCTGGGTTTCTGAGAGAACAGAAAGGGGCTGGATCAGCACAATAAGTCACACCGGACACTGGTGACATTCTAGGCAATGGTCACGAGGCGGGAAAGTTGTCAAGGGACGGCGTGGTTTTCCCCACATATTCTGCAAGGCACCTGCTAAGGGATACGACAAATTAAAAAAAATATGTCCACTGTAAATATGGCACATCGTCAACCATCTATTAAAATCGATAACGAAGAGATTGAAAATGTCATAGAATTCGAATATTTAGGCTCAGTAATTAACGAAAATGGCGACTGCCCGAAAGTTGTCAGAAACAGACTGGCGGCTTTTGCAATGCTGAGACTAAACAGTGTGAAGAACCTATGGCACAGCACCTGCAAAGGTCCTGAACATATTTCCCGGCCCATTTACACACTACATGACCTTCCATTCATACTTTCTCAGACTCATCTATGTCGGAGGGGTGTCACGTTGTCATCCCTCCAATAACATCAGCGCCGATGTCGCGAGTTCTATATTACACGACGATACAACTTTCAAGGACCCCAAAAGACGTAAAACTGGCCCTAACCCAAACCCCTTTACCCACAGCTCCAGCCTAGGTCATACGAGTGACTTTTTCGAAAAAAGCAGTACAACGTGACACCCCTTTGACCTAGATCAGACTGAGACAATGTGTAGATGGGCCGGGAAAGGTGAACAAGGCACCTGCAAGCGAGTTCAAGTAAAAGTTTTGAGATCATGCATCAAGTGGCAATTCACAGATGTGAGTCTGGAACTCTTACTTTTGAAGAAAATATGATTTAAGCATCGAGAAGAATTGGCTCATCAACAGCCTGGTAAAAATATAGTCCCTTAAAAAAACCACATCCTCGGGTCTCTATTCGGGGGACGGGGGGGGGCATAGGGGGAGGAATAGAACCACTGACCCCGTAACAAGCATGTCGCACAATGCAACTAGTTAGGTGAACCCCCTTCGAAGTCGGAGTGCATCTGCATGAGAGGGAAGGAATCAACAGTCTGCACACAAATTAGCCAGATCTGTAAAATTGATGTACACGCAAAACTGTAATTTCTGGAACGAGACCAATGTTTCTGAAATGCGCGAACAACCAGAACCTTTCGCCATGAGTTTACAGCCGGTGAACGCGAAGAAGAAATAACCACCAGCATGAATGGGTTAAACCACGGCTGGAGCCGGTCGTGGCAGATTAAGAAGAATTAGACGCAGCGTGGGAAGAAACTAACGACTTAACAGCGGAATGCAGTGGTTGACAGGACACTCCATTCAGCCTTGTCGATGAGCAAGTACAGCAGCAGACTGCCCCTGGGCAAACATGTCAGAGATAGAGAGGCAAGCGCGTTTACTGATCGTCTGCAATGTTCAGCCTTTGGGATAAGGGGTTACAACGGTATGCCAGGGTGTGACTGTCATTTGTTCACTATGGCAGGGTTATTTAACTGGCTCCCTGTGTAGGTTTAGGGGTCCCTTTGTGGAGTTTTTAAATGACGCCCTGGGGAAATCTGTTTTATTTTTTTTTTAAATATATCCTTATATAAAAGATCTGTGGAAGGAGGGGTAGAGGAAGACGAGAGAAGATGCTTGACAGTTTTGTTGCATGATGTGGACGTGTGTCGGCACACGAACTGATACATGCTGTAGGAGATCGCAGATTATGGAGAGGCATGATCGCCCACGCCAGTCGGCAAGGCACCTGATGATGGTGATGATAAAAGTGGTAAATAGTTTCGTTTCGTAACTATAAATGTTGTACATTTTAATAATCTGGGTTTTTATTATTTTTTTAATATTCTTTGTTTATGTATTGCTTGGGTTTTTGTTCAGCTAAGCTGGGTTTTTCCCACACATACAAAAATCCCATTGGCAGACCTGTTTGTGGGGGAAAACAAGAACAGACCCACTACCTGCCTAAAAGCGTAGCGTAAGAGTCGACTAATTGGAAGCCTCCTTTGAAGTCGGAATGTATCTGCCTGAGCGGCAAGGAACCAACAGCCTGCATGCAAACAAGTCAGACCTGTGAAACGCAACAATCAGTTTCTGGAGGAGGACAAGAATCCAAAAGCGGACGAACAACCATAACTTTCGGCCGGAGTTTACAGCCGATGAACGCCAAGAAGAAGGAGAAGATTTAACTGGCAGCCCACGGACCGAATGCGGCAGGCAGATGCCTACCAAGTGGCCTGCGGATCATTGCATTGTTTTGTATTATTCACCTATCTGGTAATCTGGTAATCATAGTTTGAGCTTCATAGCAAACGGATCACCCCATAGTAGCTCCGCTCCTGTGCCAACGAAAAACACACGTAGCTCACAGTGTCACGCCATGCACTCAACTCAGAAGCTGGGCGACGAAACTATATTCTTTCAGTCTACAAATGGAGCAAAAATGAAAATCACCTAATTATGCTGCGGCCGGTATCTGTGGCCTCTGACATATGACGGATCCCCATTTTTATCATTTTGGTCTTTGAGCAAACCTAACTGATACTTGCTGCGTGCCTGGAGCACACACACACAAAGGAAATATTCTGCAATATTTTTTAACGAAATGACTCCAATAAGTTGTCATGTATGGTGGCCCTCTTATAGATACAATATGACGTGTACGGCCTCCAGAATATAAGACTTAATACGTCACTATAAGTCTCTCTTGCTCGATCCTGCCTCACCTTGACGTGGTGGATTCTGTTCTTCCCAGCAGTCAGGTGGAAGGTTGGGAGTTCAACCATCCGCAGTAAACTAGATGAGAAAACAAACGAGGTAAGGTCGAAGGGATCAGCTCACTATCACTCTCAAGAGATCCTGAAGTGGGAAATACTGGGCCAAAAGGCGTATCAAAAACCACAGTATGCAACCTCTCCTCCCCTATATGTGTGTGTGTGTGTGTGTGTATATATATATATATATATATATATATATATATATATATATATATATGTGTGTGTGTGTGTGTGTGTGTGTGTTAGGTTGGTTGCGTATCCTTTACAGGACATTGCAGAACCAACCCCAGCAGCCCCTGGCTGTTGTGTGGTTTCTCTAGGCAAATTTACGACCAGTAGTTTGACATTGCTTCTGGACAATCGGCCCCTTGATACCTCTGTCGAAACCAACGCAAGGCACATAGCCCGCAGCTGGGATCGAACCCGGCACCCCGGCAGTGCCGGGTTCTGAGCCTTGACAGAATACACCCCCATCTACTAGAGGAGCTCCTAGACCAGCGGTTCTCAAACTGCTGGTCGCGACCCTTTGGGGAGAGGGGGGGGGGGTCGAACAGGGGGCTGCGTTGTCTCGATGCATGGTGTCCGCCTCGAGTGCTAAAGGTCCCGGGTTCAAGCTGGGATTTTTTCACTGGACTTCTAGTAATTTCCCCTGGTCTTTGGGTAGTGTCGGCTCTGTGGCTAAGTCGATGCGAACGCTTCGCTTCGTAATGCCGGGATGCCAGGTTCGATCCCAGCTGCGGGCAATGCGCCTTGTGTTGGTTTCGACAGTGGTATCAAGAAAGCCGACCGTCCAGAAAGCAATGGCAAACTACTGGATGTAAATTGCCTAGAGAAACTACAC